GCAAACCAGACTTTCAGGAACCAGGAGAGCAGCTTGGAGAGCAAAACTGCCCCAGCACAAGGGTCAGCCTTGGCTGTGCCAACCCCCCGTGCATATCTGCAAGCTTTCACTTCAGATCTCAGCACTAAGAGCTGAGTCAGGCTTTTATGAGGTCTTGGAATTTGCTAAGGAAGCAAACTGCCCAGGAGCTCGCGTGAGCTCGGGCTGGGAGGGGGGATGCTCCCCCTCCTGCCCAGAGCGTGCCAGTGTCTGACCCTCAATAAATGTAATTCCGGGTAGAAAGTGTGGGATGCTTCTCATCCTCTGCAGGGGTTGTTTTTTTTTTTTTTTTTCGCCTGTTTCCAGCACGGGAAGAGGTGGGAAGACCAGCAGCTGCTCAGGCCTCCCCCCAGATACTCTCCCAATGGTGTGGGCAAGGGGGAAATGGTGAGTGCTGATGGGAAAATGGTGTGTCCCCCTCTCCGTGCGAGCCTGTTCCCCCCCTGGGCTGGCTGTCATCTCCTGGGAAGTTCAGTGGCCTGTTTCTGTGGCTGGCATGCTCCTCGGGGAGCCAGCCCGGCTGTTTGCCCATCTGGCATCACCAGGTCTTTGCAGGGAGGAGAGGTGGGCTGAGCACAAGGGGACTTTGTGTTCTCTACCCCTTTCCCATTGGAGTCAACCCCAGTTTTCTCCTCTCAGATGGGCTGTGACCAGCAGGGGACAAGGGAGGAGGGACAGGGTGACACAGAGCTGTCACGGGGTCAGGGATGGGAGCAAGTGGCGAGTGTAGAGCAGGAGCAGGGGCGGTGGCACAGGTGGTGCAGGTGGGCAGGAGGAGATGATACAGCTGGTGCAAGGTGTGACAGTGGCACTGAGCCAGTTCTGGGTGTGAGATGGCAGGTGAATGTGACACCGAGCTGTGGGGGGTGGCAAGGAGGTGACTGAGCGGTGCAGGGGCCTGGCAGAGGTGACAGCAAGCTGGTGCAGGGGGCAGGTGACATGTTCATCCTAGGCTGGCAGGGTGATGACCCTGGACCTTTGCCAGGGCACAGATGGTGGCAGGTATGTTGCCCTGAGCTGATATGGGGGTGGCAGAGCTGGGGACAGGGAGGTGACACTGAGCTAATGCAGGGGGCACATCTGGAGACAGGAAGGTGACACTGAGCTGGCGTGGTGACACATCTGGAGGCGAAGAGGTGATGCTGTGCAGGTGCAGGGGCACATTTGGGGAGGGAGGTGACACTGAGACAGTGCAGGGGCACATCTGGAGACAGGGAGGTGACACTGAGCTGTCATGGTGACACATCTAGGGGTGGAGAGGTGATGTTCTACCTGTGCAGGTGACACATCTGGAGATGGGGAGGTGACACCGAGCCAGTGCAGGGGCACATCTGGAGACAAGGAGGTGACACCGAGCCAGTGCAGGGGCACATCTGGAGACAAGGAGGTGGCAGTGAGCTGATGCAGGGGCACATCTGGAGACAGGTAAGTGATGCTGTACTGGTGCAGGGGCACATCTGGGGATGAGGAGGTGACACTGAACTGATGCAAGAGCACATCTGGAGATAGGGAGGTGACACTGAGACAGCGCAGGGGCACATCTGGAGACAAGGAGGTGACAGCGAGCTGATGCAGAGGCACATCTGCAGTCAGGCAGGTGATGATGCACTGGTGCAGGGGCGAATTTGGGGATGGAGAGGTGACACTGAGCCGGTGCAGGGACACAACTGGACACAACGAGGTGACACATCGGAGGTGGGGGGGGGATTGTGTGACACCGAGCCGGTGCGGTGACACATCCGCGGGCGAGGGGCGGACACTGGGCGGCGCAGGGCACAGCCGTGTCCGTGCCATGTCCATGCCCGTGCCCATGCCCGTGTCCGTGTCCGTGCCGTGCCGTGCCGTGCCCATGCCCGTGTCCGTGTCCGTGTCCGTGCCGTGTCCGTGCCGTGCCCGCGCCCCGCGCTCCCGGCAGTGCGCATGATACTGCGGCGCGGGGGCCCCCCGTGCGCGCCAACCCACCTTGAACCGGCCCGGGCCGCGCCGGTGGCCAATCGCCGCCCACCCCGGCAGGGGCGCGGCCAATGGGCGGCGCGCGGGGGCGGTGCCGAGCCGCTAAAGGGCGCAGGCTTGGCTGCACCGCGCGGCGGAGCGCGGGCGCGGCGCGGGCATGGGCGCGGGTGCGGGCGCAGCGCAGGGCGGCCGGCCCTGAGCCGCCCCGGAGCCGCCCCTCGGGCCCCGACCGCCCCGCCGAGCCCTGCCCGGACACGGCCACCCCGGCCCGGCCCCGCCCCGCCCCGGCCGGGCCGCCCGGCGGGCGGAAGATGCTGCGCACCGGGGGCCGGTAGTACTATGATTTGGTATGTGGCCGCTTTGGTAGCAAGTGTGCTCGGCGCCCGCGGGCTGCCCGTCCAAGGTGAGTGCGGGGCCGCCGGGGGGGTTGTCCGCCGCGGTTAACCCCGGGGGACTGCGGGGCCGCCCTGTGCGTGCGTCCCCCCCCCCCTCCCGCCTTGTACCGGGATGCGCATGGACCGGGAGAGATGCGCGCACCGGGGAGGGCATCGCGTCCCGGGCACAAGGGGCGGCGGGGGGAGGACTGCGGCTGCGGAGAGGCTTTGCGGGGTTGGCGTCCTCCCCGCTGCCGGCGCGGGGACCGAGCGCTTCCCGCTGCGGCGGGGCGCTGGCGATTCCTTCATCCTCCGCTGCCGCGGGGGAGCCGGGAGCGCCCGGCGCATCCTCCCTCCGCAGGCGCTCGGCGGGGCTGGCCGTGACCTCCCCGAGGGCAGCGGCTGCAGCCGGGGAAGTTCGGGAAGCCGCGCTCTCTCGGTGCGGCGGAACCTCTGCCCAAGGGTTGGAAATTCCCTCTGGGAAAACGCAAGCGGGTTGCGGGTCCTGGCGCGGGGCACGGCTGACTGTGTGTTCCCCCTTGATCAGGGATGGGAAAGCGTTTCTCGCGTCCGTGTTTCTTCTCTCGTCCTGGGAAAGAAGCGCCTGCGGCAGCGCCGGGGGGTGCGGGCAGCGTTTGCCCTTCCCTGCAAGGGTAGTCCGGCTGGGCAAGGAGAAACGCAGGAGGGATTCGTCGCCTCCCCCTGCAGCGCCCCGGCTGCGGGTTTGGGGGTGACTTTGCTCCCCCCCCCGCCCGGCAGAGGCTGCCCTCCTTTCCCCCCCTCCACTGCAGGCTGGCTGCCGTGCTGGGGTAAACTGAGGCACAGGGTTGTCCAAGGTCAGGAGGGAGACGGCGGTGGGGAATAACCCTGATTTTCCTGCTCTGGTTTCTTTTCCTTCGGCTGCCAGCCCCTTCCCACCCCCCCGAGCCATCCCTGCAGGTAGAGGGGAGCTGCCTGCCGCTGGTGCAGCACCGTCCCCCATCTCAGCCGCTGGTTTCTCACCGGGCACGGGGTCATCCCAGCTCCCCGGTGGTCCCTGCCCGGGATGAGACGCAGGAGCTGTGCCCTGGGTGTCACTGTGCCCTGCCCATGGGGATGCAGTGGCTGCCGGCAGCAGGCGATGCCTGGCTGGCAGCCACCACCACTCCCCTCCCCGTGGCGGCGGGGAACGCCGGCTCGGCGGGCACGAGTGGGCTGGGAAGGGGCACTGCCGAGGTGCTGCAGCCCCCCCCCCGATTCACAGCACTCCTCGAGCCCACGGGGTCAGATCTGTACCATGCCACGGTCCCTTGGCACCCTCGCCTGGCAGCCGGTTCCTTGGAGTCGGGGCGGGGGGTGTGTCAGGATGGGGCTGTGCTTTGGGGGGGTCAGAATGGGGGCTGCCCCATTTGGGGGTACGTATCCCCTCTGCCTGAGCCGCGGCTGGCTGCTGCCCGCCTGAAATGCGTGCTGCAGTGTGGCGAGGCAGAGGTTTGCAGCAGCGGTCTGTGGAGGGATGCTCTGCCCGGGAGAGGAGCAGAACAGCCGAGTTCAGCATTTGGGAACTTGGAAATACCCCGGAGCCGCCGGGATGGGGCTCCGGAAGCGGTGGAGGGGGTGGGTGGGTGCCGGGAACCCCCGGGCACGGGGGTGCTGTGCGTGTGGAGCAGCGTGTACGCGGTGAATGAGCACGCCGTGAGTAATGCGGGGGTGGGCGCCGGCTGAGGGGGTGCTGTGGGCCGGCGTGGCCCCCGTGCGGGGCTTTGGGGGGACGGGGAGCCCACAGGGCTCACCCCAGCTGTGCAACCCCTTAACCCCAGTGCTGTCTTCTCCTCCCGGGGGGCTGTCCCCCCTGAATTGCTTGGGGACAGGGCTTCAGAGCAGAGCTGGGGGTCGCTGTGTGCCGATGCCCTCACCGGGGCTTTTCCCCTTGCCGTGGCCTTCCTCCCACACTGCCTTCTCCTTGCCAAGCCCTGGGCAGCCCTCTTGCCTGGCTCTCCGAGGGCTTTCCAGGCATTAATCGGCTCAGAGGAGGAAGGAGGGTGTGTTATCCCTTCTTATGGTGTGGGGGAGGAGAGCCAGGACGTGACCGCACCGGGAGTGGGTGTCAGAGGAGGGATCTGGCCCCCTGGCATTCCCGGCAGTGCCGTCACACCGAGGGGCTTTTCCTCCCTCTCCCACGGGTGTGACGCTGTGGCACCACACGGTGAGTGGGGAGGCTTGTGGATCCGGCAGGCGGGTTTGCGGAGAGAGGATTTGGCTTTGCCGGCCCCGGGCGAGGACTCCTGTCAAGGAGGTTCCCTGGACACCACGGCGGGTGACGCTCCTGGCACTGACCTTGGCCGGTTGGAGTGGTTTGGCACGGCGCTGCATTCCCTGCTCGATCCTGGTGCAGAGCTCTTCCACGCAAGGGATGGTGCCTCTTTGGCCGTGGAGGGGTCTGGACTGGCAGCCGCCGGATTTGGCGTGTGCGGCTTTGGCCCCACTCTCTCCTGGCAAGGGGAGGGTTTGGCACCGGGCACGGCCAAGGGCGTTGGCCCAGCTCCCATTTCCATCTCTCCCTGGAGGATTTGTGCTCCTCTGGACCTGTTGGATGGGAGCTCGCGGGGCAGGGAGGGACGGGAGCGTCTCGGTCGATGACTTGGCTTTGCCGGAGGGGTTTGGCGGCGGCGCTTTCCCGGCTCGGTTGGCTTTTTACTCGGAAGATGCTTCGCCGGCGATGGGAAAACCTTGCAAGTTCCTCTCTGGAGCTGCATCGGGGTGGGACAGCTCCCATTCACCTCTAGTCCTTCACCTTGGAGGTCGTGCCTTGAGGCTGGAAGAGAAGCCCTGCAGATGGGCGAGCAGTGGGTCCAGCCCTGTTCCGTGCCGATGGAGGAGTCCTTCCCTCTCCCTTTCCCTGCGGTAGGCATCTCCCGAGCTGGGAGCCCTGAGCGACCAGCTGGCCCTTGGAAAAACAACTCCCTTCCTCCCGCTCCTCGATGGAGAGGCTGGCGTTGGTGGGAGGGCTGCCTGAGCCAGGAACAGCGTGATTCAGGAGCTGCTGGCGGGCAGCTCGGAGCGCTGCCTGCATCCCAGTTTCCCAGGAAAGCTGTGAAGGCACTGGAGTGGTACATGCTCCTCTGTGGAGAGGGCAATGGGCAACCTGCCTGTGGGTACTGGTGCCACGTGGGTCTGGGCTGGAGGGCACAGCACCCTGACAGTGTCTCCAGGTGCAGGAGGTCTCCTCTGGGATGGGTTTGGGCTCCAGCCTCCCACCGCAGCAGCTTGCTCGGCCCTGTGGCACGCGGAGGGAGCTCTCAGGGAATGCACAGGTAGCTGCTGGTTGTTGCTGGGAGATGATGGTTCCCACGAGGCGGCTGCTGTGTGGCACTTGGGGACGCTCTGCACCAGGTGGTGTTTAGAGTGAGTGGGCGCAGGGGACCCCCAGGTGGGAGTAGGGTGACTGCAGGGAAGTAATTTTCTCACTTGCCCCATCTCTGTGCCTCTCCGAGCACCAGCCTGTGCTACCACGTGCTCGCTGAGCTGCTGCCCAGCCAGGCATGTTCCCACCTGAGTCATTCCAGGGAGCAGGGACCCACCGTGGGGCTGCTGTGGGGCAGCACTCTGTGCATGCACACTCCCTTGGGGATGCCAGGGAAGCTGCCAGCCCACACTGGGGGGTGGCGTTGGTGGTCCCACAGGACAGCCCTTGTGCCAGGGACGAGGTTTAGAGTCACTGTCTCGCTGTGAATGGGGCACTGAGCCACCCCTGACAGCAGCTAATCCTTCTCCTCGCTGGCCCCGTGTGACCTTGAGGCATGTCACTTGACCTGCGCGCTGCCCTCCATCCATCTGGAAAATCGGGTTTAAAACGCAGGAATCGCGCTGAAAGCCCAGATGCTGCTTTCCAGCTGGGGGGAGGGGGCGAGGGCTGCGCTCCAGGGGCTGTCCCCCATCAGGGGACAGGCAGAGGCTTTTGGGGGGCTCTGGGTACCTCTGGCCAGGGAGGGGGGGATCGAGTTTGCAGGAGGGGGTGCAACCCCCCCCCCCGAGATATTTGGGGGGATTATGGAGGTGGGAGGCAGGTGCCCCACGCAGTGCCTCTGCAGCGGGGTCCCTGCAGCACATTGTCCCTGTCCCTCCCCATGCTGCAGTCGCCTCCCTCCTCGTTTCCCAGCGATGGCTGCCTGCTCTCCTTCCCTGCTGGCCTCCATATGCCACGCTGGTGGCCTTGTCCTCAGAGATCCCTGCCATATCCCGCCTCCACCGATGTGAGCGGGATGTGTCAGAGCAGATCTTGTCTGTGCTCGGGAGGGAGGAGAGGTCCACGGGCTCGGGGCCCTGTGCCTGCTCCCCCAGCTGTCCCCATGTGGGGACAGGGATGGGGATGAGTGCCTGGGGTAGGGGGGCAGCGTTGGAAGCGGATAGTGGTGCCTCCATGCTTGTTAGCAGGCTGCAAGGAGATAGTAGGTCACCTCTTTGACTTGGGGCATGGGTGTCAACTCTGCTGGGCAGGACAGCCTTCCCAGGCATTGATTCCTTTGGAAACCCCTCTGCCATGGCCACCTCCTTGTCATGAAGCACCTGCAGGAAGGGTCCTGCTTCGGCGAGTGCACCTGAGATGCTGGATGCCCTCTGCTGCACCGAGTCTGGTGTCACCTTGCGTCTCTGCTCTTGGGATGGGAGGAGCTGGATGCCCAGATCCAGGTGAGGGTCTCCCCATCCTTGGCATCGCCATGCCGGGGAGCCCCGTGGTGGCACCGTCTCAGTGGCAGCAGCCTTCCCTCCTCTCCCTTTGGGATGCTGTTCAACTCCACCTCCGCATCTTGTATTCTTGCCTCCTGGCACGCGGCGTGCTTTTATTTTTCCTGGATCTGCTCGGATGACGGAGCCTGTTGATTACTTGTTTTTCTTTACGAGGCATCCCCCAGCTTCACGTGAGCTCCCACACCGAGGGGGATTCAGGGCTCACGTCCCTGCTGCTGCTCCCTGATGGCGACCCTCTTTCCAAACTGCAGGCTGAGCCTTGAAGCCCCTCTGAACTTGGCTGGGAAAACCAAGTGGGTTTAAAAATACCCCGTCTATTTGTGCTCTGTTTCTTCTGGCGTCTGCGAGTTGTTTTCAAGCGTTTCCCTACAAATGTGGGGGTGAGAAACACTTTGGATCGAGAGCTGCAGCCTCCCATCGCTCGCGTGCCTTCTTGGCCTGGACTTAGCAGGAAAGCCTGGTCGTGGCTGGGAGCGCAGGGTTGGGTTGGGAAGTTGAGGAGACCCAAAGAGGGTTTGTGAAGCATCTCCCCTCGCTTCCAAGCCGCTCTGGAAGCGGGGACAGGAGGGCACGGGGCCGGTAGTGGGGCGGGTGGCAGCTGGGGAGAGCCGGGGGCCGGTTATCCGCCGTGGCTGCCAGTCGGCCATGCGCGTGGGGAGGTGATGCTCAGCCGTGCGTGCAATTCCCCACCGGCCCTGTGATCAGACACCGGCGCTCAGAGCTGCCGGGGCTGACCTATTTTCCTACGCCCGGGCAGCCCTGGCCAGCCGTGGGTCCGGCGGAGCGCCTGGCTCGTCCCCTTCCCCGGGGAACGTCACCCACTGCTTTCCTGGTGAGCCAGTCAGGGGATCCTGGCGTCGTGTGACGCCCTGGCGCCCATCCCCGGGGTGTCTGGGTGGCCTCTTGGGCACAGAGCTGGGCAAGCATCAGCATCCCAGGCTCAATTTGGTGTTGAACTGGGAACCAAGATTCCGCTTTGGTGCGCCGGGAGCTGGTGGGCTGGGGCAGGCAGGGCGCTGGGGAAGGGGCTGCAGTGCTGCCCTCTCCATCCTCTGCCGTCGGAGGAAGGAGGGCTGTGGCTTTGCAGGCGGTGAGGTGCTGGGGACCTGCTCGCTCGGGCAAGGCGGCCGGCGAAGCGCGTCCTTGGATGCTCTTGAGCAGCACGTGACAGCCGCTGTCCCCGATCAGCGCAGGGGGACCACGGGCAGGGAGGGGGGTTCCAGCCCTGCAGCGCAGCCCCCCTCCCAACCCTCAACCCCAGGATGGGCGCAGCGGGGTCAGGACGGGCTCTCACAGCTCTGTGCCGGGGCGGCAGGGGAGGGCTGACACCGTCCCTGCTGACAGGGTGCGAATGTGAGCTCATTGGCGATGCAGCGATAACGAGGGATGGAGAGGTGTGAGAGTGTTGTCGGCGTGGTGCAAAGCGGGGTGCGCCTGTGTGCATGCACACTGCACGTGTGTGCTCAGCACTCCCCGCTCCCCGGTGGGGTCCAGGCGGCTCTGTGGCTCTGCAGGACCCCTCTAGCAGTGCCTGCAGTGGGCGTGCAATGCAGCGTCTGCTCCTTGCAAAGCTCACAGCTCTGCACCCCGGCCTCACCCGCCCCGCTGCCACCAGCCAGCCCTCCCAGTTCAACAGCCGCCGGTGCCCGGTTTGCTGGTGGTGTGGGGGCTGAGGACACCTGGGTGACCGTCAGGCTGTGACCCTCTGCGGTGGCACACTGTTGAGTGTGCCCTGCGGGAACCGTGGCCGGCTCTGCCCGTTGCCCTTCCCAGGGGGACACTCGGCTGGTGGGCCCGTGGGGTGGCACATCACGGGCCTCTCGCCGGTACGCGCTTGTGCCAGAGCCAAAAATAGCCGGTGATGCTCGGCTCCCGCGGCGGGGAAGCGGTGATGTCACTCGCCGCCAATCACCGGCGGCCCCGAGGAGCAGCGCGGAGGAGTGGGAACGTGCTTCCCCGAGCATCCCTCCCCGAGCATCCCCCCGGAGCAGGCGGCAGCCGCGTGTGCCAGGAAAATGGGGTGCCCTTCCTTGATGGGCAGGGAGATGTGGGTCTGAACCTAGTTTTGGGGCCCCCCCCCTCCCCCCTCTTTCGGCTTCCCCGCAGCCCTGGGTTTCCCTTTCTCTCCCTTTCCGAACGCTGTGCTGAGGATGCAGCTTTGCTGCTGCTGGCAGAGCAGGATGACGCCAGGCTGCAGCGAGCAGGGCGGCACAGCCGGGGTGGAGCAGCCTCGGAGCTGAGACCAAAGTCCTCTGTAATTACCCATCTGGGAGGAGCAGGGTGACAGACCTGACGTGCAGGTTGCAGCCGGGTTTCAGGCTCGGGGCTCTCAGGGATGCCCGAGGACACGATGACTTGGCTGGAGCATCGCTGCTCCAGGGGCTCAGCCCACCCTGGCAGCTGCAGGAAAGCTGGGTCGCTGGGCTGGCACAGCAGAGCTTGTGGTCAGCGCTCCCTGCATGCTCGCTGGAGGATGTGGGGGGCACAAGCAGGGCTGCTAAAAGCAGCCTTTTCCCTGCCATAGGGATATGGAATAGCCCTGCTGGTGCTGGTAGGTGGGGAGCAGTGCTAGGCATGCTCTGTGCCCCCCTCTACTGAGAGCAGGGGGTCCCCAGCCCTGGAGCTGAGTGGAGGAGCTTGGGGACTCCCTCTTGGTTTTGGGGCAAGGGATACCCAGGGGCTACCCTCAGTGGAGACAGGCAGCTGGGGACAGGCATCTCCTCTGCGGTGGCTCTCCAGGGGGGTCCCAGTCTGATGCTGGGGCCCAGCAGTGGGATCAGCCACAGTTTGTTCCTTTGCCCCCTCACAGGTGCCCTCGGCTCGAGGGAGGAGCCCGAGTTCGTGACCGCTCGCGCTGGCGAGAGCGTGATCCTGGGATGCGACGTGATCCACCCGCTCACGGGACAGCCCCCTCCCTATGTCGTGGAGTGGTTCAAGTTCGGCGTCCCCATCCCCATCTTCATCAAGTTCGGGTTTTATCCTCCCCATGTCGACCCAGAGTATGCCGGTGAGTCCTGGGGGTGCAGGGGGACACGGGGGACGTGCCAGGTCCCGGCTGCTGGCGCAGCCTGGGATGCGCAGCTCCGCTCCATCCGTTCCTCCGTCGGAAACCACGCGGGCTCTGCCTCTCGTTGCTCGCTTTCCACCCAGTTGGTTTTAATTAAGCAGCAGCGTTAGGAAGCCAGCTGGGCTGCGTGGGACGGGAGCAAGCGAGGCAGAGAAACCCAGGGTGATGCGTGGTGGCGGTGGCTGCTGCTGCCGCCGCTGCGCCCCGGAGCAGCTGTAAGCCTGGGGAGGGATCCTGGGGGGATGGAGCCAGGGCCACGTGCCGGGCAGAGGTGACAGGTTGGAGCTGCAGAGCCCATGTGACATGTGGCTGGTGTCCTCTGGTGGGGTGTGTGAGCTGGGGACCAGCCCTGAGGAGGCTGGTGTGGCGGGGCAGGCCCATTTTGGTACCCCATTCCCTGGGAAGCGCTGTCCTGGGGATCTTCCCTGGGTCTTGTGGGGCTCAAATTGTTCCCTGAGAAATGCTGCAGCAGGGAAGATGCACCACTCGGGCTGGGCTGAGCCCTGCCAAACTCAGCTCATGAACGAGCAGCGCCACAGCCCAGTGGTGGAGATTTGGCCTGCTTTGCTCCTGACCTAATTTTTTTGGGGCTGTGCACCGGGTCAGCTCAGGGCCACCCTGCTTTTTGGGAGTCTCCCAGGCCGGGGAAAGCTTTGGGGCAACGCCTGCGTGCCGGCTGTCCCGCCGCCAGCCCCCGGCTGGGAGCAGAAGGCCGGTGTCAGTGCGGGCAGACGCCGCTCGAGGCACCTTGCCTGGCCGTGGCAGCTTGGCTCTGCCATCCCCAGACGTGTCACCGGCTGGCCGTGACCAGGAGGCTCCACCAGCCCCCAAACCGGGGTGGGACGGGGTGTCCCCTGCGGCGGCGCCCCCGGGGGGCTGCCCCGGTGTCGGGGGGCCGCGGAGCCGACGCTGTGCTCTCCCACAGGCCGGGCCAGCCTGCACGACAAAGCCTCCCTGCGCATTGAGCAGGTGCGCTCCGAGGACCAGGGCTGGTACGAGTGCAAAGTGCTCATGCTGGACCAGCAGTACGACACCTTCCACAACGGCAGCTGGGTCCACCTCACGGTCAACGGTGAGCGGGGCTTGGGGGCTGCAGCATCCCCACTGGAACGGGATTTCTGGTGGATGCTGGACCTCAGTGGCATCTGCGCCTCGCAGACACCCGAGCCTGAAGCCGTCCAGGCTGGCTGGCTGCTCCAGCCAGGGCGTGACTTCAAAAGGGACTAAGTTTTATTAGGGATTCCTCAGTTTAATTGGAGCTTGTTTAAAGGAGAGACATCAAGAAGCGGGGCTGGGAACCAATCTCCTCTCAACAAACAGATCAGAAAATCAAATCTTTGTTTTCTTGAAATTCAGATTTACTCAAATTACTTTTTCATTTTATTAAGGCCGTATATTAAACTAATTAGCAAATTGTCATTCTGCACATCAGGAGAGAGATCTTTATTTTTAGCCCAGCAGCAAGGCTCTGCCTTCCCTGCTGCAGTGGGGTGGCTGGAGAGGAGATATGGGCACCAGCAGCTCCTTGCTGGTCTTGCCTTGACCTTGAGCAATCAATTTAACCTTTGGGAGGATGGCATGGAGCAGAGCCACCTAATTGAGCCCAATTAGTAAGCAGGAGCTTTGCAAGCAGGGCTGTGCAGGCCACAAGCCCCATCCCTGCCTGCTGCCCTGCTTGCTGTTTCCTGCTTTCCCCCTGCCTGCTAATGAGCTCCGAGGGCTTGGGAAAGAGGGAAAGAGAAGGAGGAGGAGGATGGTGCATGTTTCACCTCCACCACGTGTACAGATCCTGCAAACCTCCAGCTCCAGAGACTGGAAGTGGCCCCAGATGCCCTGTCCCTCCTCTTGGCAAAATGGGGCATTTTGGGGGTTTTATACAGCATAGGGCGTGCAGGGGCTTAATAACAATATAATAACCATAATCCTTCCAGCTCGAGGAATTGCTTTCAGGGTGAAGGCTGTGGCTTTCCCCCAGCGCATTACAACGCTTAATTTTCTTAGGGGGAAAATAAAAATCATTTGGGGAGAAACAAAATATAATTCTTTATTTTTTTCCTTTTTCCCCCGAGCAGATTAAATTGCCAACCTGTCTTCCTCTAAAGTGGGCTTTAACAACCGCGGGTAATTAGGGGCGGGCTGTAATCCTGCCAGCCTCTTTCATCAGGAAGGAGCCTTTCGATCTGCACTGCGGTGTTTTCCCATGTTTTGACAAGAGCGAGTTAATGTGCAGCGAGGGTGGGGGAAGTGGTGCCGTGCCCCGGAGCTGGTGGGGAGGAGAGGGGACAGGGCTGGGGTGCAGTGTGGCAGCCCTTGCTCGGTGTCCCCAGGGACAGCTGCTGTGAGAGCCGCTGTCCTCCCTGTCCCTGCAGCCTCGTTCACGTTTGGGGTGATCTCAGCCCTGCTGTGAGGATGTTTAGGGTGCCCTGGTGTGCAGGCAGCTCTCTCTCTGTCCCCTTGTCCCCCCTGGGGCCACAGTGGAACCGAGGGGGTCACGGTGGTCTCCTGTGCCCCGCAGCTCCCCCCACGTTCACGGAGACACCGCCGCAGTACGTAGAGGCGAAGGAGGGCAGCAGTGTCACCCTGACCTGCATGGCGTTCGGGAACCCCAAGCCCATCGTCACCTGGCTGAGAGAGGGAGACCTTTTGGGTGCCAATGGCAAGTACCAGGTAGGTGGTGGTGGGGACAGGAGCTGTGGTAGGGGCTGCTGTGGGGACTGCTGGGCTCCCTGCTGGCAGGGACAGTATTGACGGGACCACGGCGGCGGCGGCTCCGCCATGCTCGGAGCCAGACGTGCTTTCTCAGCACTTTTCCATGCTGAAATGCCCATTTTCCCCATCCCTGCTGAGCTGCAGCTTGTAATGCTGCCTGCCCTTGGGTGAGGGCTGGAGACCACCCCAGGTACTTGGGCAGTCCTACTCCTACACTCGAGCTGCTCCCTGCAGACCTATCCCAGGGGCTGGGACCCTGGAGATGGGATGGGGGCTGCAGCCTGGGGATGTGTGTCCTCCAGCAGGGATGGATGCAGGAGGGCTTTGAGCAGGGAGGATTTCCCCTCCTCCCCTCCCCTTCAGGACCCTTTTTGCATCCCAGAGGCTCCCAGGCAGAGATTCCCCCCTGAGCTGTAATTGGTAAATCAGGCATTGGAATCAGCGCAGGCACTAATGAGAGTAATTAGGAATCATTTGTTACTAATTGAAATAGAAGGATGAGGCAGAATAAGGTGGGGGGGAGAGCTTGGCTGGGAGGGCTCCCTGTGCATGGGGGTGCTGTTACCCCGAGGGTGATGGTCCTTTGTCCATCCTTCCTCTGCTGTGTCCCTGAGGGGCAATCTGTCCACTCCTCTTCCATCTGTGAGGTGTCCCCATGGTGGGAGGACAGTGGCCAGGCTGGAGTCTCCTCCTCATTCCCCACCCCGCTGTGGGGCTGGTCCCTGGGGAGCAGGGAACGCTCTAATGAGGCATCCTGCTCCTTATGAAGCACCCCGAGGTGCCAGGGCGCTTGGCGGGAGCACTTTGGATCCTGCTGCCTGCCAGTCACTTCTCCGGGAGATAAATGCGTTGCGATGGTTATTTATTTATTTTATGGTTTATTTTTTTCTCCCTTCCCTTCCCCTTGGCGTCGAGCAGGAACGCGTGTGTTGGTTTATTAATATCCGAAGCCTTGCAGAGCGGGGAAACCCGTCTCTCATCCGGCCCTAAAAGCGCCGGCAGCTCCCGTGCCGCGGGAAGCAGGGAGGGTGGGTCTTCCCCCATCTCCCTGCAGGGAGTGTCCCTGCCCACGCTCCGAGGGTCTTCCCTTGTTGTTCCCAGGTGAGCGACGGGAGCCTTACGGTGCTCTCCGTCAGCCGGGAGGACAGAGGTGCCTACACCTGCCGTGCGTACAGCATCCAGGGGGAGGCCGTGCACACCACGCGCCTGCTCGTTCAAGGTGAGCCCTCCCAGCCCCTCAGCACCCCCCATCCCACCCAGGAGCACCGGGAATGGGGACACGTGGACCACAGGGATGCGGTGCCACCCCAAAGCCTCTGTGCTGGGCATCGTGCCGGCTGCCCCCTGGCTCCGCTTCCCACTTGGAGGACGGAGGAATGCGCTTAATTGGGTCTCAGCGGTGGCTGTCCTGCCCTGACGAGCAGCCAAGGCCCCGGTGGCAGCTCGGTTTTGCTGGGGAAGCGGGGAAAAGATTGAGGCTGTCATGAAGCGCCTCGTCAGACAGCGGTGATGCATGACAGGCCTCCTGCTCTGCACTCCCGCTCTTATTAAATAAATCTTTAATTAGGTCAACAGCTACCGGCGCAGAGGGGAGAGCGGGGTGTCCTCTGCTCTGCTTTTGTGGCAGTGGTGAACTGCTGGCTCCTGGCAGTTTGCAGTGCTCCCCCCCCACCTCCCTGGATTTTTCCCGTGGGTGATGCTATTCTGGAAAAGTGCTCGGGATGAAGTGAGGCGTGTGTCTGTGTGCCCTGAGAGAAGCAGAGCCGTGCACCACATGCACGGACCCAAAGCTGTAGAGATTAGGGAAAAGGCTGGGAATAACAGGGTCACTGTGGCCCTCAGTGAGTCCCTGCGCCCTGTGATCCCAGGGAACCGGGGCCAGCTCTGCCCCAGAGCCCTCCAGCAGCTCCCAGCCAACAATGCTGTGATGGAGCTGAGCCTGAGCAACCTTTGTGGGGACACCTGCAGTGGTGGGGGTGACACTTTCCTCTTTCCCTCTCCCAGGACCTCCCTTTATCGTTTCCCCTCCGGAGAACATCACGGTCAACATCTCCCAGGATGCGCTCTTCACCTGCCAGGCCGAGGCGTACCCCGGGAACCTCACCTACCTGTGGTACTGGGAGGAGGAGAACGTCTACTTCAAGAAGTGAGTTGGCATCTGGCCTGGCAGCTGGGAGTTGTGCCAGGAGCTGGGGTTGTGCTGGGCGTTGCCCTGGGCTTCCCAGTGACCCTCCTGTCCTCTTCTCTCGCAGCGACCTGAAGTTGAGGGTGCGGATCCTGATCGATGGGACGCTCATTATTTTCCATGTCAAGCCAGAGGATGCTGGAAAATACACCTGTATCCCCAGCAACAGCCTGGGCCGCTCGCCATCAGCCTCTGCCTACCTGACAGTGCAGTGTGAGTGCGGGGACGGGGCTGGGATTGATCACACCTGGCTCTGAGGCAGCCCCAGAGGCCCTGTTGTCCTGGTGTGATCCTAGGAGAATTGGGTTAATGTGACAGCAGCCTCTGGATGAGCGTGGAATCGCCCTCAGCGGAAAGCTGAGAGCGTCTGAAATGGTCTGAGCATCCTGGGTGACACTGCTGAGCTGGGACAAGTGTCCACCTTTGTGGTTTTTGTCTAGGTGAGCATCATGCCACAGCTGCTGCCGACACTCTGCCGGGAAGCACCGGATCAGGGCTCTGGGTCTCGTCCTTTCTGGTGTTTACTGTGGGGTTTGTTCCTGTGGTGTGGCTGTTCCGCGAGCTCCGTAGCCTCGCGTGTCACATTTTTCAGGCGGTAACTGATCTAAACAAGCGGAGGAGAAAGGGCTGGAGCAGGAGTGCTGCTTCCCACGCCTGTTCTCCCGGGATCCCCGGGCGGTAATGGGTAGTGTGCCACCGGCGTCTCGTGGCATTCGACAGTAATGGCCTCAATTGCCGCCACTCACAATTGCAATATTGCTCTGCTGTAAAAGACTGTGGTGCTTTTATTTCATAATGAAAGACAGGCCTGAGCAAAGTGGGCTCATGGCTCGGGTTTTCCAGGCTGATGTAGAGCTGCTGCCTCTAGACCCGGTGCTGGTTAGCGGGGAGCCGCTGTGAGAAGGGCCGGGAGGTCCCGTTGCTTCCCTTGTGGGCAGAGCGAGCAGGGGGATGGTGTGAGTGGTGCTGTGCCCAGGCAGAGGCCTGATTTGGGGTTGGATGTGCCCAGCTGGGCAGCTCTTGGGAAAGCCTGTGGCCTCAGGCCATTAAATCTGCCCTGCTGCTAATCCAGGACCGCTTGTCAGGGCTGATAGCTGTTAAAAATAGCTCTAGTGGCAGGAGAAGCAGCGTTTGGACAATCTGCCGTTCAGGCGCGCAGGGAGGGGTGCTTGGCTTTTGGTGCCACAAACCCTTTTCCTCCTGAGCAAACCTTGTCCACATTGGGACTGATGCCTCGGGAAGGAGCTTCCCACCCACTGAAGCGGATGGGGACACATCTCTGGGTCATTAGTGAGCAGGGCTGGCCCCCGGCCAGTGACCTAGTAGTGAAAGGCTCGATCCCATTACCCTCTCCCGCGCTGCTGGAGTCCTTGATTACATTTCCTAAGAGGTGGAGTTAAGCAGAGGGGGGTAAAGCCTGCTCCATATGCAGCACTCAGCAATCTGGGTTACGGTGCCACTGCCGGGGGCACCCGGTTTAGAGGGGCGGATGGGGCGACGCGTTTCGGCAGGCAGGGAGAAGATCTCCCAAACTTTGTCCTTTTTGCCCCAAGAAAGCAATAAGGAGAGGGCACACCCACATCCGCCATCCTTTCCTACTAAGCACCCTGCCTTTAACCCCCCACTGTGTGTTACTGCATCAGCAGAGCAGAGGTGCTGCACCCCAAAAAAAACCACCTTCATCCCTTAATGCAGCGTAAGGCCCGGCGGGATTTTCCCGTAACCTTGAGCTGCCGGTGTCTAGACGAGATTGTAGAAATGCTCACTCTTCTTATTAAAAGTAACTTTTTTTTTTCTTCCTTTTCCAAAAGCTTCTTATTAAAGAAAGCCTAGATTCTCTCCAACCCACTCGCACTTAATTAAAAAGCTCTTAGAAGTGCTGTTAATGACACATTCTAGACTGGAGGATTGCGAGACACCTCTCTGCGTGGGTGGTGCAGCATGGGGGGGGGTTAGATATGTGTTTTAAGGTTTTTTGCATCTTGGAAAGGGTGGAGGTGGTTGGTATTCAACATGACCCAGCCTTGATGAGGCACGAGCCAGCAGACATAAGGAGGTTAAGGGCTCATGGCAGCCTGGACACGGGTCTCTTTGACCATCTTGGTTGCTGCTGTTGGTGTGTTTTAAGGCTTGGGAGTTGAAATAGTTTTGGTCGCCGGTGTGTCAAACCAGGCTGTTGGGTGCGTGTCACGCCTTGCATGTGTCCCACTGTGATGGAGCAGCTTGGGCTTCAGTAGGGTGCAAGTTGGTGTGGAGTTGGGAGCAGGCGTATCTCATATTTCTTCATAAATGCAACTTTTAACGAGCTCCAGGTAGGAACACCCTGGGCACTGGTAAAGCCTCCCAGAAACGCCAGGCATTACAGTGGATTTGTGTGTAACAAGGCTGGAGATAACAGCCTGCGGGAGCCAAGGTGGTGCTGGGCTTGGAATTCATTACAAAACTGCTGTAGATCCTCTGAAGCCAGGCAGGGGGGAGAGATGGGCTCTTTTCCTATGCTGACGTGGTGCTGCTGCTCTCCCAGATCCTGCCCGTGTGGTGAACATGCCCCCCGTCATCTACGTTCCCATCGGGATACACGGATACATCCGCTGCCCGGTCGAGGCAGAGCCCCCGGTCACGCTGGTCAAGTGGAACAAGGACGGGCGTCCCCTGCGAATCGAGAAGGTAACGAAGCCCCTGGGCAGGGACAGAGGGGGACTGGACCCTCATGTCCTTGGGAAACACTGGTGAGCACCACCAGGCACCCTGTGGGTCCGGCCTGGCTGTCAGGAGACAAGAAACCCCATGGGTGGGATGACTCTGCTTTTCCTTACCAGCTGTGGGCAGAGTTAATTCGGGTTCTCTTGTGGAGTAGTGCCTGCTTCCTCCCTAAAGTCATCTCCTGGTAGCCCTGGTTTATTTTTCCAATGGCAACGTATGGTTAAAAGACCCTTTTAACAAGTCTCTGTCTTCCTCCAATCACAGTCTGAGCAAGGATATTGGACATTAAATATTTAAAGAAAACACTCAATATTTTAAATTTTTTGCTTAAATATTAATGATTTGAAGTTTTAAGTCCATTTAAATCTGTTGCTGCTGTGGCTTCCTGGTCCTTGGTGCCCTCAGCCCCTCGGGTGGAGTTCTCTTGTCCACTCCAGGACAAGTTTTATTTAGGGTTAGATTCTGATCTTAAATCTTTTGGGCTACGTGAAGAAGCCTGGCTGTGTGTAGGGAGGAGAGTGGCTTCAAGATAAATCCCTTGGGTGCATACAGAGCAGGACAACCCTTCCCTGGAGGGCTGTGTTTGGATAGGCTGATCTTGCCCACATTTCCTCTCTCTGCAACTGAGGAGATGCTGGGAATGGGATTGGGTATCTCCCAGGGATGTGACAGCCACCCTGGGCGTGGGTGGGGGGGCTTGGCTGAAGGGAAAATAACAGGCTGTGGTGGGTGTAGGATCAGTCAGTCCCTCGCTCTCCCTGCTGCAGTATGCTGGCTGGAACCTGCTGGAGGACGGGTCGATCCGGATAGAGGAGGCGACTGAAGACGCTCTCGGCACTTACACCTGTGTGCCTTATAACGCCCTGGGTACGATGGGCCAGTCTCCCCCTGCCCGACTGGTACTGAAGGTAACCTGCCTGCCAAAATCCGGCCTGTCTGCCATCAGTTGTGTCCTCCCGGGGCTGTGTGGGGAGCAGCAGAGGCTTGAGGGTGAAGGTGTGTCTGTGCTGTGGTTGGAGATGTGCTTCCCACCAGGACAGGCAATCCCCGAGGGCACCCTGTCTGGTGTAGCTGGAAAGATCCCGCTAGAGCAGATTTCAGCACGAGCTGGATCAGCTGCTGTAAGATAATATAAATTATCGGCTGGTGTAAGAATATAAGACTCTGGTATTGCTGGACCAGGGTGATTTGAGGAAACCTCCCCCTGGGATGGCCTTTTTGCCAACAAAACACTTAGCCCTGCTGGCCTGGGCTTGGGTTCTGGAGGATTTAAATAAATGGATGATTTGAGCTCCACGTGCTCCGGCTGCGTGCGGAGCCTGGGGCATGCTGGGCTCCCAGCGCAGTTCCTGGTGCAGCTGGGGTGGGAGCTGCTGCCTCTTCCTTCCCTGAACAAGAAGTCCTGTGCCTGTGAGCAGCAGTGATTCATGGTGTCTCGCTGAGGTTCACATGAGAACGCTTTTTGTACCAGACACACACATCCGCTGGGGCGGCTGCCGAGGCGAGGAAATCAGGTTGATGTCTGATGTGGTGTGGGTGGGTTTTTTCCTGTTTTAAGGAAGTAAAAACCCAGATGCTGTTCATCCTGGAGAAGAGGAGGTTGTGTGGAGCCTTTCAGTATCTGAAGGGTGCCTACAAGGAAGCTGGAGAGAGACTCTTCATCAGGAACTGTACTGCTAGGACAAGGAGAATGGTTTCAGACTGAAAGAGGGGAAATTTAGGCTAGATGTACAAAAGAAATCCTTCCCTGTGAGGGTGGTGAGGCCCTGGCACAGGTTGCCCTGAGAGAGCCTGTGGCTGCCTGGAAGTGTCCAAGGCCAAGATGGACAAGGCTTGGAGCAACCTGGTTTCATGGAATATGTCCCTGCCCATGGCAGGGTGTTGGACTAGATAGTCTTTAAGGTCCCTTCCAACCCAAACCATTCTGTGATTCTGTGATTCTCTGCCCTAGTGCAGTGGTTCTTTGGAGAGAACCTCCCTCCAGGTGTATAATTTGGAGCCTCCTTAACACACGTTCTCCGTGCAGCTTTCCTTGCAATGCCTCGAGCTTATCCAAAACAGGGATTTGGTTGGTTTGGAAAAGGGCATGTTTGGGTGATGGCAGTTGGGGTGGGCTGACACTCCTTGTTTTTTCCCCTGGCTGCAGGACCCCCCCTATTTCACGGTGCTACCAGGCTGGGAGTACAGACAGGAGGCAGGGAGGGAGCTGTTGATTCCTTGCGCTGCTGCCGGAGACCCCTTTCCCATCATCGCCTGGAGAAAGGTACCCGGCCTGCCAGACAAATCTGCAGTGCCTTTGGCTTTTGGTGAATATTGCAGACAGAGAAGCCACACTCTGTCCCGGTAAGAACAAACTGCAGGTACAGCTGCTTCGCTTTGGGCTGAGCCACTGCCGTCCTGTCCCGCAGGTGGGTGGGGGAAGCCCGGCTTGTGGCCACCGAGTGCTGTAATCCCCGGGAAACCGTCACGGCAGCATCCACAAAGCTGAAACACTGCTCCCACCCCGGCCTCCCCCTCCTCTTCCTCGCCAGCACTGCCCACAGGACACCTTCATCCCTGCCTGGGTGTGAGGTGGTCACCAGCAGGACGTGGCAGCCCCGGCCATGGCGCTCTCATGGCACAGACCTCCCGTGGATGTGACACCAGAGTGTGTCAGGGTGTCCAGCATGTCCAGGCAAAGGGCTGGACCAGTCAGCAGCTGTTTTGCTGCCCCATGACTTGAAAGACCCTGGGAAGAAGCTCCTTTTAATGCTGCTGGACTGGCTATAATGATTTCAAGATGTCCCTTTTCATAGAGCAGGGTGTGGGTGGCACAGTCTTTAGTCCTCCTGCAGCCTTCCCTTTGCTTCCCACCTTTACTGCTCCCATAAGAAAGCTGTACAGGAGACCTCCTGGGCTCTGTGGCCCTGTCAGGATCTTATTCCAAGTCTCCTGTCCCCTTCTCAAGGCTCCTGAGAGTGAGCAGGGTCCCAGTGTCACCCAGTGGGCTCTGTGCCCAATCCTTGTGGCATGAGATGCTGAATCTCTAGTCCCTTTTACCAGCACTAGGAGGACCATGACTTGCACACATTGCAAGTGACCTGCCTGAAGCCTGTTGGCTGTTTAGTCTTTTTCTACACCTTCTTTTAGTTTCCCCTCCTCATCAGTCTCATTCAGGTTTCTTTCCAATCCCACTTGTGCCTTCTGATGGTCCTCCTCATATTGAGGGGATAAGCCCAGAGCCACAAACTCCAGTCAGGGCTGGCTTGGACTGGGCTGGTTTCCCAGTGGCAGAAGCAAACTCCTTTGCTCCCTATCAGCCCACCAGTGCTAACCAGCCTCTCGAAGGACTCCTGGGCTTGGCAATGGTAACCCCATGTGCCCATCGGCTCCTCTGCTCCTCCTGCTTGGCATCAACCCGTGGGTCCTGGTGTTGATCAGCAGAGCCTCCCACATGAAGAACAGCTGAAGAGGACTCTGGACAACGCAGGGTTTGCACAACTTTGACGAATGGGCATAGACAAGTTGTTACAAGATCCATCTTTCTGCTCGGCTTCTTCCTGTGTCCCCGTGGGGCCTTTGCTGCCCAGACCTCTGACACGAAGGGTCCTGCCTCTCATCTGCTGCTGACTGAGTGAGGGGCAATTGGGGCATCTCCTGGGGCAGACAGCGCCTTCCCCAGCCCGGGAGGGTGTCTGCTGGGGTGGCCGGTGCACCTTCGTCCCGCAGCGGTTTCAGCTTTGGATGCTGGAGGTTGAGCCCTGGCGCAGGGCTCGCTGTCCGTGCGAGTGCCGTGGGGGTTTCCGCTGGTGTGTGAGTGCTGAGAGCAGCCTCCCTGACGCATGCCTCTCGCGTTGCCCCTCAGGTCCTCTCGGAAACGGGGGAACCGTCTGCCTTGCCACGACCGGAGAGACCGGATCCCCTGCCGGTGGCCGGCGGTGTCCCCTGGGCCGCGCAGGTAGCTTAGTGACCCCGCCGCCGCCTCGCCCTGCCCCACAACCCGCTTCTGAGTCGTGGTTTGTTTTTTTTTTTCCCCCGTCTCTCTCTTTGCCCGGCTCCCCACCCCGCTCCTTGCCCAAGGTAGGGAAGCCCAGCAGGAGCAAGCACAACACGCTGCCCGGCGGCACCCTGCAGATCCGCTCCCTCGGCAAGGACGACCACGGAGAGTGGGAGTGCGTCGCCACCAACATCGTCGCAAGCATTACTGCCAGCACCCACCTTACCGTCGTAGGTACGGGCGGGGAGGGGAAGGGGCCCTGGGTAGAGCCACCCCCCGTGTTGGCGAGGCAGGAGGTGGGGATGCTCCCCGTGGAGAGAACTGTAGGGATGGGACAAGGGGAAATGACTTTAAACAGAGAAACAGTAGGTTTAGGTGAGATATTAGGGAGATAGTCCTTGCTGCGAGGGTGGGGAGGCCCTGGCACCGGTTGCCCGGAAAAGCTGTGGCTGCCCCAACCCTGGAGGTGTTAAAAGCCATGCTGGATGAAGCTTGGAGCAACCTGACCTAGTGGAAGGTGTCCCTGTCCACAGCAGGAGGGTTGGAGAAGATGACCTTTAAAGTTCCTTCCAGCTTAAAACCATTCTGTGACTCTTAAGAGCAATGTCTCCTTTAAACCTTATTTACTGGCAGAGCTGCCTTTTTCCGCGCTGTTATTGTGGCCTCTTGCAGACACAAGTTGTCCTGCTATTTCCAGCAGGAATTGCAGGTGCGGGAAGAGCCCCATCGGACCACGGCTTGGGAGCAGCCCCCTTGCCCTCGTGGTCCTGCTCCCCTTTAACCTGTGCCCCTGTCCCTGCAGGCACAAGCCCTCACGCCCCGACCAGCGTGCACGTCGTGGCCGCCATGACCTCAGCCAACGTCTCCTGGGAGCCCGGCTACGACGGTGGATACGAGCAGACTTTCTCAGTTTGGTACGGCCCTCTGTGAGTCATCCTGGCATGCTTTGCTCTCTGCTTCTTTTCCTTCCTAGCCGACCTGAGCTTCGAGCAGCCGGGGGTGGTGGTGGCAGGGAGGAGGGTGGTGAGGGTGGCACGCCCGGCTCTGTGCCCCATGGGGCGTTGTTGGGCGTTGGGTTCCTCGGAGAGGTGGGAGGGGGGGTTGGTGGGATCATGTAGTTCTCGTATTTCCTCTCCCTTCCGTGCTGGCCACTGCCTCAGTCTGCCCCAGCAGGTTTTACTCTGCCTGTGGTACCAGGGAGGCGCTTTGCATCCTTGTAACTCTGCCTCTGGCATCCAATTTCAAGATAAACTGTTTACGGGGCTTAACAGCCAGGAAGAGGATGGAAAAAGCAACCTTTAGAGAGTGCATCCTGGAAGAGCTGTGACTAAGCAGAAATGCTCTCTCCTTGCTCTGTGGCTCCCTGGAGGTGGTTAAATCCCAGCTGGGATCATGACCAGGCACTGTGAGCTGCTGGCTGGGTCTGAGCCCCTGGGGCTTTGTTCCCATTGCTCCTGTGCCACCAGGCACCCAAAGCCAGTGGGTGCATCCCACCTTCCTGCAGCAGGGCCAGGCTCAGCCCTGTCTGTGCCTTTTCCCTGAGGCAGGGGAGGGTAAAATGTACCTGCAGCAAAACTGGGGTTTTCCCTGGGCTCTGCTCTTGTTTTCTTGTGAAGAGTTATCCTTGGAAATATGAAGGGGGTGATCCTTTCCCTTTCCAGGCATGGGCTGCTCTTCTTCAGCCTTTCCTCTTGCTCTTTCTCTCCTTCCTTGTCTTAATTTGCCCCGATGGAGACTGCTGATAGAGAAGAGAGAGGGAGATGCTGCCTGTAATGATTTCTGCTCTGCTCCAGCCTGAGGCTGGGCAGTCTGTCTGGTGATGGAGAGAAGGAATGGATTGAGCAGAGAGGGAAAATGAGGGAGTGAGCTGAGTGGTGCAGACCTTGCTTTGATGAAAATGTCCTTGGGAAGGAGTGGTTAAACCTCTCTGCTCTGGAAACGTGGCTGCATCTGCAGCTGCTGCTGCTTTTGCTCTGCAACCTTCCTGCCTCCTCAAGGCAATTCCAGACCCCACACGCAGGGAAAGGTGTTTGCACCGAGCTTGCTGAAGGAATTTACAAGGAGCTGTGGGGACTTTGGATACGGAGGCAGCAATCCATTTTGCCCTGACTGTAGGGTGGGATCCACGGGGACTGCGCTGCTCCCTGGGACCAGGGATCTGGGACAATGCTGGGTCATGTAGCGCCATCCAGAGCGCAGCCCATGCAGGCATTTTCCTCCCTGGTGTGGCTCTGGGATGCTCCAGCAAAACATGGCTTCATTTACTGCGGATTCACGCTCTCCTCCTGCTGCTGTGGTTGTTGAGGCTGGAAATGCAAACCCCGCTCCCCAGGGATGGCCAGGGCCGCCACGGCATCCCACCTGCACATGGGCTGTCCCTCAGCAAGGGCTGTCTGCCGTTCCCAGGAGTGATTAGAGCAGCATTTCCGCTCCACCTTCCCCACCCTCAGCCCTTGGCCCACCTGTACCTGCCCTCAGCAGCACTGGGGAGGAGGGATGTGAAGGCAGTGGGTTAAATGCTGCAGGGAAACCTGCTCAGGGGCTGCTCTGCTGCCCTCCTGCCTCCTCTGCAGTGGCAGGGGATCTTGGGAATTGTAGTCCCAGCTGGAGCCGGTTTTTTCCAGAGGTTTTCCACTCAGTTTGGTGGAGGCACACTGCACACGCACGGCTCTCCACCCACTTGCTTCTGTCCATAGCTTGCTGCTGCTTCTCCTGCCTCACCTCTTGCTCCCTCATCAGTGATACTATTTCTCTTTGCTCCATCTTTTCCCTCCTGCTGGATTCCCCTGGCTGTGTGCCGGTGGCTGCAGATGTGCCCCCTTACCTACACAGAATAGACCATCTGCACTGATCCTTCCCAAATCCTCTACTGACACCACTAAAACCTGCAGCTGAGGGCTCAGACTCCCTAAAGCATCTCTCCTAACATGAGCAAGGTGCTTCCCAGCAGGATAATGGCTTGTGGAGGGGGCTGCACTGCCGGGGTGGCACTGGGATGGCTCTGGGAGGTTTTCTCACCCTGGGTTTGTGGTTAGAGCCCAGCAGAAAGGCTGTGTCCTGCACTCCCTGCCAGTGCCTCTGCTGCGCTGCCAAACCCCGAGTGATGCCCCAGGCTGTGCTGGCAGCCCCCGACTTGTGCAAATGTGGCAAAGAAAGATGGGGATTTAGCTAAATGTCTCTTGTGGGATGACATGTACAGGGCTACAGCTGAGGGAGAACTTGGCTCTGGCTCAGGAGCTGTCGAGGTATAAATGGGAACAGGGCCCGTCTCCTGCGTCAGCCGTCCCCTTTGCAGCACTCATGGAGCTGAAATGCTCCAGCTTCCACTTCTGCCCATGGGAATCTGATGGAGATCACCTCAGAGCGGGGCTGTTGGCACTGCTGCTCTCCCTGACCCTGTTCAGGGGGTGCAGGTGGTGCACAGCAGAGGGGAGAGTGGTGGCAGTGTCCCTGTGGGCCGGGGGATGCTGCTGTGACGCCGTGGGATGGTGGCCTGTGCCAGCTCGTGGGTGGCAGTGGCTGCCCCACGTCCATACCACATCACTGCTGTCAAACCAAACCATCGCTCGGGAAAGCTCCATTTTCGCTCGAGAAGTTAATGCTGCCTCTTTGTCCCCCCTGTCGAAGACACCTTCCCTGAGGATGCTTCCCTCTCTCTTGGCAGGATGAAGAGAGCCCAGTTTGGCCCCCATGACTGGCTGTCTCTCCCTGTGCCAGCTGGTTCCAGTTGGCTACTGGTGGATACCTTGGAACCTGAGACTGCTTACCAGTTCAGTGTCTTGGCTCAAAACAAGCTGGGCACCAGCTCCTTCAGTGAGGTGGTCACTGTGAACACTCTAGGTAGGTCCTCCAGGGGCACAAGGGGAGGGCAGGGATGGGATCTGGGAGGCAGAAGTGCCCCATGTGTCCTGCCAGCTAGGGATGGAGATGGTGATCATCAGCAATAGTTTCCAGCCGCATAGAAGATAGTTTGTGGAGGGTCCTGGAATGAACCTGTGGACTTTGCTGGATGCATGAGGCTCCTGAAAGCTTGTTCTGAGATAGCGTGGGAGAGCTGTACTCTATCAGTCACCTTTCAGATCTTCCTCAAGTTCATCTGGGATCAGGAGGTATTAATAGAGCACAAAAGCACTTGTACAGCTCAGAGCAGGAGGGCCTCGCACTGGGCCCTGCCTTGGGGCTGTCTCAGGTGGAGGTGGGAGGAAGCAGGAGGGTTTTTCATGCTGAGCCTCTTGTCCTGGAGTCATGGCATTGTGAGTCCCCTGCTTTTTGAAAAGCCACTTTTCTGTGTCTATGATAAGAGACCAGATTCCTGAGAGGTGCCCCAAGCTCCTGGAATGTGGGAGCTGCTGCAGTGGTCCTACTGCTGCTGCTGGGCCCACGGGAAGCATCTTCTGCCCTTGCCCTGCCCCATCTCAAAGGTGTCCCTGTCCCCTCTGCTCTGTCCCCAGCATTCCCTGTAACAACTCCAGAGCCTCTGGTGTTGGTTACCCCACCGAGGTGCCTAACAGCCAACCGGACACAGCAAGGCGTCCTCCTGTCGTGGCTCCCTCCCGCTAACCACAGCTTCCCCATCGACCGCTACATCATGGAATTCCGCGTCGCCGAGAGGTGGGAGATCTTGGACGACGGCATCCCAGGGACCGAGGGCGAGTTTTTTGCCAAGGACTTGTCCCAGGTATGCAGAGGCTGTGCCCACACCGTGCCTAACTCGATGACCTTGGATGTCTTTTCCAACCTCAACGATTCTGTGATAAAATTGCACCGCCTGCCGCAGCTCCGGGGGAACTTTAGGGGTGGCTCTGGGGGAGCTTTAGGGGTGGCTCCATCCCTTTGCTGGGGTCTTTGAGGAGGTGGGAGGCTGCACTGGGGGGACCTGACCGGATGTGTTTGGTGTTGCAGGACACCTGGTATGAGTTCCGTGTCCTGGCGGTCATGCAGGATCTCATCAGCGAACCCAGCAACGTCGCTGGGGTGTCCAGTACAGGTGAGGGGTGTCCTGCTTCTCTCCCCGGCTGTGGGGCTGTGGGCTGGGCTGGTGGGTGGGCTCATGGTTGTGATGGGTGTCCAGGCTGCCTCCTGGAGCAGGAGAGGACAACCTGCCCCACTTAGTCCTTCCCGTGGAGCACGGTGCTGTCGGTGTCCGCTGGCACATCCCGGCTCTGCGGTGAGCCTGGAGAACAAAGCTCCAGCCGGGCACTGCGCAGCCTGGAAATGGGAATGAAAGGTGGAGAGAGGGAAACGTAGCACTGCAGTGCAGGGTCCACAGGGAAAAGATGCTTTGCAACGTGAGACTGCAACATGCTGCAGCTCCTGTGTGTGTTTACCCTGTGCCCGCCCAGGCTCGGAGGGTGCTCCTCGAGCCAAGACACAGGCGAGGGGTTGTGGTGACGACCGGGAAGGCGAGGGCAGCGGGAGGGGATGGGGATGCGGTGAAACCCTGGTTTTATGGAGAACCCGGCTCTGCTGTGCTGTGATGCAGCGGTCTCTCTCTGCCCCCAAGTGGTGCCGGTGTGGTGTGATCTTGCTGCAGCCTCCCTGCCTGCAGTCTCCCTGCCTGCAGCCTCCCTGCCTGCTGCCCTTTCTCCTCACGCCCGATTTTTCAGATGGGGTTTGGCAGGTGCCCTGGCTGCGGGCAAGTGCTGTCCCAGGCTGAGAGCCGGTGCTCCAGCTGATTCCATGTGTGAGCACGCAGCAGGAGCACTGAGCTGTGCGGGGTTTGCATCTGCAGGGGCCCACAGCCGAGGTCTGCTGGGAGTTCAGATGTGCTCATGGTTAATGAAGGGGTATCCGGAGGGTTTGGAGCCCAGTTTTCATTGAAACGCTGAAATGAAGCACTGACAAACAAGTTAAAATACCTTGTGCTGCTGCAGTGGGTTTTTCAGCCAGATCACTGCAGGTTTGCTACAGCTGTGTGTGTTTAGACATAAATATGTATTTGTTGGCATGAAGGCTTCTTCCCTGGGTGTCCATTAGCTAACACAGGAAGGTTTATCAGGTCGCTTCAGGCAGCCTGGTCTAGTTAAAGATGTCCCTGCTCATTGCAGGGGTGTTGGACCAGATGGCCTCTAAAAGCCCTTTCCATCTCAAACTATTTTATGATTCTGTGATCCGGTGTGAGGTCACTAAAACCCTCGGCCCTGAAGCGGCACTGACTGCTCTCCCTGGGTGGGCTGGCTTGGAATCTCCTTACAGAGATTATCGTCCTGATGTGCAGTATCATCCCTGGAGACTGTCACTGCCTCCACGCTGTGGCAGCTCCCTGTGGAAGGCAGCAGGCCTAACACCCAGTTGTGTCTGTCCCCCCAGACGTATTCCCTCAGCCTGACCTGACGGACGAGGGTCTAGCCCGCCCGGTGCTGGCTGGCATCGTTGCCACCATCTGCTTCCTGGCTGCTGCCATCCTCTTCAGCACACTCGCCGCCTGCTTCGTCAACAAGCAACGCAAACGCAAGCTCAAGCGCAAGAAAGGTGAGTCCCTTCCCGGTGTGCTTCCTCCCTCCTCCCCCTCCTGTCTCCTCCTCGTTTCTCCCCCCCTGCTTGTGTTGTGGTCGTAACCTTCTTCCCTGTGTCTGTCTCTTCTTCGTCCGTGCGCGTCCTCAGGTGAAGCCCTGACTTGATCCCTCGGCGGTGCCTGAAAAGCGCCCGTGGTCGGGAGCGGGAGAGGCAGGGTGGGTGAAGAGGCGCCAGAGAAAGTAGCCTGGGAATTCCGAGGGAGCTCTTCCCGCGTGGTGATAACTCCTAGAGCCGGGGGTTTAGGGCTGGGGTGTCCTCTGAGACACAGATGGGGGTCATCACTCGCCTCCTCGAGGTTTCCCCCACTGGAGCTGGGCTCTCCAGCTGCTCCCAGCCCGGAGTGGGCAGTGCCATGCTGGGCTAGAGAAGACCCTACAAAGGAGACTCTGCTGCTCTGCTTCCCGAAAGCTGGGACTGCAGCCTCCATGCAGGAGCGGCCAGTAGGGAAAAGGGCGGCTGGGGAGCTGGAGAGGGCAGGGAGTCGGCTCCTTCTCCTCCAGCCCACGGGGCTGCGGCAGCAGGACGGGCAGGACCCTGTGACGGGAGCTGTTTGTTGTCAGCAACCATTAAAGCACTGGAGCAATGAAACCTTGGCCTCTTGTTGAGTGTCTTTTGTTGTCTTGACGTTGAGTCTGTCTTGTGTCTGTTGTGTTGCGCCTCCTCAGCGTTCTCTCTTCTTTCCCCTTTTTATTCTCTTCCAGACCCTCCTCTCTCGATAACCCACTGCAGGAAGAGTTTGGAGTCCCCGTAAGTATCTGTCTTAGATGCAGCACCAGGTTGTGGGTCTTCCAGGTGCCTCCTTCCTACAGTTATTGCAAAGCTCAAATGGAAATATCACATCATTACTTGGTTGCTTCTGACAAGTTGCTTTGGGTGTTCCCTGAACTTTTGGGAGCACAGCGGTTCACAAGAGACAAATGGGCTTTGGAGCAGAAAGCAGCAGGGAATGCAGCAAACTAAGCTAAGAGATGACCCTGTTGGATCTGTAAACATTGACCAAGCTGGAGTTGGCTGGTGGAACTCAATGACACACCAGCATGAAGGGGCTCCTTGGGAGGACTAGCCTGCCGCATAGAGTCCTCCCTGCCAGCTCAGTGTTTTTTGAGTCATTCTCTGTTGGCTCTGTTTTTTCTTGGGAAACACATCTTTTCTCATCGAGAGTCCTCTGCTGAAGCCTCTGTCCACTTGTGCCCAAGGGTGGTGGATCGTGGTGCTGCAGTAGCCACAGCTCCTTGCGGAGCCCATCAAAAGCAGGTGTGGCTGCAAATCAGTGGGAGCATCTTCCCAGTGGGAGTGTGAGAGCCTGGGATGTGGACGCCTCATGCTTTGGCTCCTGGACCATTGCAAAATGTCCTGGTGCTGGTGGATCTGAATCTTGGGGTTTTTTCTGGTTCATCCACTGCGCCGAAATAACCTGCGCTATCTCTGTTGGATCTGCTACCTTTTGCCTCGCAATCCTGTTTGTCCAAGGCTTTCTGGATAGGGATGAGGGAACTCTTCTGATGCTCTCTGCCTTTTGAGGCTCTCAGCCTCAAATCTGAGTGTTGAGAATGGGAGAAAAAGTTGTTCTGAGCTGATCCATCAGCATCTCCAAGTGAGATGCTGAGTTCTGTAAGAGGGGACATTTACCTGATGTAGCTCCTCTCAGGGCCTTTCCTGGGCATGAATAGCTCAGGTGAACATAGGAAGCCTTTGAAGGAGTTGGAAGTGAGCTCTGGATTGTTCTTTTGTCCCAGTGGGGCTTTGGAGCTTTGCTGCAAGGTGTTGGTGTGAAGTACCTGCCCCAGGGGGGATGCTGAGCGTGCTGAGCTCCGTTCCCAAAGAGCAGGATCTTGTGCACAGCTTCTGGCAAGACTCTGCCATCCTGGTTAGGCCCTGCCCATTTCTCCCAGTTCCTCTTGTGAGGGCTGGTAGCACTTTGTTTTCCGGATCCAGACAGTGGTTCTTCTGGGCAAGAAGACCTCCTTTCCCCTCCAGGTGACCGTCCCCTCTCTCTCGGTTTTTCTCCCCTGTGGTCCAGGTTGTCTTCAGGCAAGGTGAGTCCCGAGAGCATCCGCACGCTCCGTCCCCCCTCGGAGTCCTCTGACGACCAGGGTCCGCAGGCCAAGCGGATGCTGAGCCCCACCAAGGAGAAGGAGCTCTCCCTTTACAAGAAGACCAAACGAGCCATCAGCAGCAAGAAGTACAGCGTCTCCAAGGCGGAGGCCGAAGCCGAGGCCACCACCCCGATCGAGCTCATCAGCCGCGGGCCCGACGGCCGCTTCGTCATGGACCCGGCGGAGATGGAGCCCTCCCTGAAGACACGGCGGATCGAGGGCTTCCCCTTCGTGGAGGAGACGGACATGTACCCCGAGTTCAGGCAGTCGGACGAGGAGAACGACGACCCCGTCGTCCCCACCTCCGTGACCGCCCTGAAAGCGCAGCTCACCCCTCTCTCCTCCAGCCAGGAGTCCTACCTTCAGCCACCAGCATACAGCCCCCGGTTCCACCGGGCGCTGGAGGGTCCCGGCGCCCTGCAGGCCACGGGCCAGGCCCGCCCGCCGGCCCCCCGGGGTTTCCACCACCAGTTTTACGGTTACCTCAGCAGCAGCAGCCCCGGGGAGGTGGACCCGCCGCCCTTCTACATGCCAGAAGTCAGCCCGCTGAGCTCGGTCATGTCCTCCCCGCCGCTGCCCCCCGAGGGGCCCTTCGGACACCCCACCATCCCCGAGGAGAACGGGGAGAACGCCTCCAACAGCACGCTGCCCCTGGCCCAGACCCCCACGGGGGGCCGGTCCCCCGAGCCCTGGGGCAGGGCCGAGTTCCCCTTCGGCAGCCTGGAGCTGGCCCCCGCGCCGTTCCCCCACCAGCTCCAGCCCTGCGAGGCAGCTGAGGGCTCCCAGCCCACCGGCTGCCTTCCTCGGGGGCCGCCCCCCTCCTCCCTCCAGGTGGTCCCCGCGTCCTACTCGGGCATCCTGCCCCTGGAGGCACCAAAGAGCTGGACCGGCAAGTCACCGGGCAGGGGTCAATCCTCCGCGCCCGCTACCACCAAGTGGCAGGACAAACCTATGCAACCCATGGGATGTCAAGGGCAGCTAAGACATACCAGCCAGGGTATGGGCATACCCGTGTTGCCTTACCACGAACCGTCCGAGCCCGTCGGCCCCAGCGGCACAAGCACATTCAGCCTGGACACCAGGTGGTACGAGCCCCAACCCCGACCTCGGCCCAGCCCTCGGCAGGTCAGGAGGGCTGAGCCCAGTTTACATCAGGTGGTGCTACAACCTTCAAGGCTTTCTCCTCTGACCCAAAGCCCCCTCAGCTCCCGCAACAGCTCCCCGGAGCTGACCGCCCGCGCCCGGCCCCGGCCCGGCCTCATCCAGCAGACGGAGGTGTCGGAGATCACGCTGCAGCCGCCCGCGGCCGTCAGCTTCTCCCGCAAGTCCACGCCGTCGTCGACGGGATCCCCCGCGCCCAGCAGCCGGGGGGACAGCCCCAGCTTCCGACCGACCACCGCCTTCACCCCCGTGGGCACCGGCTTCTCCAACTCCCAGGGCTCCTCCCTGCCCGTGGACACCATGGATGTTTTCGGAGACATCCCCTCTCCGAGGAGGGCTGGCGAGGAGATTCTCCAACCGGAGCCGACATCCACCACCACGGTAGCCGCCACGGGGTAAGTGCGTGAGCCCCGTGGTGCCCCTCTGGCCCCTTCCTGGCTTCCCCCACCCTGCCTCACCCGCTCCCTCTGACTCCCTCCCTGCCATCTCCATCCCAACTCGTAGGGTCTCTCTGGGCACGCTGCAGCATCCCTTTTGGAGACGGCGTCCCGCGGGCTTTGCTAGGCAGAGGTTGGTGCCGTGGGCATGGGTTGCATGGCCGCTGCCCAAGAGAGTGCTGGGTTTTAGGGAGGCGACATTCCCAGTGCCGGCGGCACATTTGCCTCCAGCCTGGCCGCTCCCTTGGGAATCTGGGAGCGCTGTGACTCGGGCTACGGGCCGTCTACCAGGTGTGCCAAGGCCTGGCTCCCGGCTCACTTAGGTAAGTGTCCTGGTGTCACTGGAGGTTGTTTCCTCTTCTAGCTGCTGGCTCTTGGCTTTCTTCGAACGTTAGGGCCGCCGCCGCCGCGCCTCTTGTCTTCCTCCTCTTCCTTCCCGCGGAGTCTAGAGAGCTTTAAATGCATGACAGAAACAGCTATCATGGTCACCGCCCCACCTGCAAAAGGGATGCTGCAGCCCCAGGACGCGGGCAGGGAGAGATCAAGGACTTAGCCACACCAGCAGCATGTCAGGAGAGGAGGAAAAATAAAAATAAACTAAGCCCAGCGCAGATCGGGAGGCCGCCGGCACGCTCAGATCCTGCCCTAAAGAGGGATGTGGCTGCACTAGACAGTAGCGGCTGGTTTTCCAGGTACCAGGGTTGCTCCAGGCAAAAGCGTCTCTCTCTCTCTCTCTCTCTCTCTCTTTCTCTCTATATTTCTCCTCTTTCCCTCCGTCTTTCACAGCACCTTAGACCCCGTAGCCGTGCTTTCGTCCCATCCTTTCGTCTTGCTTCATTCTGGCTTGTTGTCTGGCGGGGTCGAGCCCCCTCCTCCGGCTTGTGGCAGAGAGGAGTCGGGGGCTGGGGCTCCCAGCCCCGCGGAGCCGGCGCGGTCGGAGGCGTTCGGAGGAGAGGCGTGTGTTTTGGGGAGGGGGGAGGCAGCGTTTCACCCCGCAGTGCCCTCCGCATTTCACTCCCTCCCTCTGGTACCTGGAAGCGTTATGGCCTTAGAAAACCCCTCCGGCACTGCACGGAAGGCAGGAGGGCTCAGGGGAAGAGAGGATGGGGAGGGAGAGGAGCTGAACGAGCCTGAAATGACTTCTGTGTGCCTCTGGAAAACCCAGCTACGGAGTGATGCAGTTAGGCGTGTAGTCACGGGTCCATGTCTCCTGGCAGGGCACCCCAAGGAGAGCCAGCTCCAGGACAGAGCCGTGTTAGAGCAGCACTGTTGTCCGTGCTTTTATGCAGTGTATCCATTCGCTTCGTTGATTATCGTTTTCGTTTCTTCTTTTCCTTTCTCTTCTGTTTCTTTCCCCCTTTCTTCTCCAGCCTCGTTTCGTTTGTGTTTCAGTTTGGTTTCTTTCCCTCCTTTTTTCCTTTGGAGTTGTTGACGTGCTGATGTGTTGCGGAGCTCGGCTCCTTGCGGGTGTTGATAACTGCTTTGTTTTTGATTAATCTCAGCTATCTGGGCAGTGTTGTCGAGACAAGCTTCTCCTCAGCTCAATAGGTAAGGGTGATCCATGTCCGAAAGGATGGTGTGGGTGCTGTGGAGGGTGGCCGGGAGCGGGGCATGAGAGGGGACACGGAAGGGGCTTTTCCAATACCATCTCTTCCTTTAAAGGGGAATAAGGAATCCGAAAACACTAGGAAACACCTCTGGACGCACAGTCTCTGTGGCTTTTGGGTTTCCCCTCCCAGCAGCAGGCCGCTGCTCCCCTGCCTTTGGGGTTTGGGGTTTGGGATGAGCCGAGCTGTTGTCTCCCCATGGCTGCCCTTCCTTTCGTGGAGGACGGTGACACGTGGCACCTTTGGCCCTGGCAGGGTGCACGAGGGTTGTGTGCTATTAGGAAGGTGAGTGTTGAGGTGGGGCTGTCCTGGATGATGCAAAGCAGGAGGGAGCCCATGGCCAAGCCCCTAGAAGCAGGTAAAACATCCCCATCTGGAGCAACCAGCTGCAGACAGCTCGGAGTGGTGCTCCAAAAATCAGTCTCCAGCTGCCATCCAGCACATGGAGAATTTAGTTTCCAGCAGTACCCGGATCTATTTTCTTTTTCCCCAGTCTCCTAAATCATGGGAAATGGGAGAAGTCTTTCTCTCAAGACAGATTGTATGCTTGGCAGCAGCATAACTATGGTTTCAGGCTTTCAGAGAGAGGTGTTTTATCCTTCCCAACACAAGTGTAGCTGTGGTAAAATCCCTCCCTCCCTGAAATTCTCCTTGGAGAAATCTTCAAGACTTCTCCTGACCCAGCTGTAATTAAACAGCCCTAAGCAGACCTTGGAAGACTGTCCCAAGAAAATTCCTCCTGGGCTGCCTTCATGAGGCTGGTTTCCTAGATGGCCATGGGCATTCCTGGAAGTGGGATGGAGTAATCTGGAGATAGTTTTCAGACCTTAGAAGCAGAGAATGTCTCTAAAACTGCTAAATCCAGATGGGATAATAGTAATTTGTGACGCTGAGGATTGGGAACACTGACCTGTTTGGCTGTCAGCCAGGCTGGTTATGAAAGGAGAGGTGGGATTGCAGATAGGAGCATTTCTAGGGCCTGGCCATGCCCAAACTTCCTTAGGACTGGCCTTACAAAAACTTAAACTTTGCTGCCTTGGATGGAAAGAGTGAAGGTCCTGGCCAGTGCTCTCCAACAGCCTGAGGAGCCTTGTTGGGCTGGAAAAGAGCCTCACAAGAGAGATGGGATGCCTGGAGAAATCAGGGGGATGTTTGCAGGACAGGGAAGTTGCTCCAGCTGACCTGGAGAGGGTTGTCCTGGGTGTGGAGAGCAGGAGAGGTGAGGAAGGAGTGTTGGGTCATGGTGATGGGAGCAGGGACAGGATGTGTGCTCCGTGCAGGAGCTCAAACCCCTCCAGTCTGAACCTCACAGCCTCCAAAGCTCTTGAACACTTGGCCACCCTCTTCTGTCTTCCCCTGCTGATGCCAGAGCAGCCTTGGTGAGATCTGGGCTGTGCCAGGCTTCTCAAGGAATAGGGAAGCCTTCTGTGAGGACGTGGCTGCTTATTCTTTTTCCTGTGGCACTTCCCCACTCCGGGAGCATCAGGGACACGAGTGAACATGGCTTTAGCACAGCACAGCTCAGTCCAGGCTCGTGTCTGAGTTTGGTGTGGCTCTTGCACAGATCCTGGCCGGCTCCCATCTGCAGTGCTGGGTGCTGTGGGCTGATGGATTCTGAGGAGCAGGATCATAGTGCCCAGCAGGACACTTGCTGAGGAGTGGTCATGTGTCCTTCTCCGAGATGCTGCTGGGAGGTGGAGTTGCAAGAGCGACTCCAGAGTCATTATCCCCAAAAAGGCGAAGCCAGAAGAATAAATCTCAGTTAATAAGTGAGGAATCCCATAAAGAGCCCAGCCAAGTAATTTCTTGATGGTTTGGGGTCATAAAATTGTCAGTGCGTGCAGAGCACAGGGATTTTACACCAGACCAGCCAGATTTCTGTGCTGCAGTAATAAAACCTGAGAGGAGGAGAGGGAGAGGCAGCGTGTGGGCTCGCTGGTGGCTGCAGCGTGGTGGCTTTTGTGAGATGAAGCTCAGGTAGCTTTTATGGATGGGCAGGGATAAATAATGCCGTTACCGAGTCGGCACAAGGAGTTTTCCCATCTTCTCCTCTTAGGATGCAGCGTGCATCTCCTAACAGGGAAAAGGGGGCTGTCGTCTCTCTGCAGAGGGAAACCCAAAAACCACAGACAAGGCACCAAGCTCCCCTGCCCCTCGGCACCGCAGCCTGCCCTGGGTGGCCCCACTGGCCTCCCTTGCCAGGACAGCACTGCCAATGCTGGGAGTCGGGGGGGCTTGGCTGTGGCGTAGAGTTGAGTGACAAAGGGACATCGGTGCCAGGAGTGCGGGAGGAGCAGCACCCCTCGCTCCCTGCTTGAAAGAAAACAGGTTCCCCTTTAAAGACTGTCCATGTGCTGATCCTCTGCATGTGTTTCATGCCTCCTCCCGCTTGGAGAAGTTGTGAGTCCGCTTGTCTGAGTGCGTTTCTCTTTTCTTTCTTAAGTATTCTTCTTATTATTACTATTATTTTTAATTTTTTTTCAGTCTCTTTAATTTACTTATATATTTTCTCACTCCTGTTTTTCATTTATCTTCCTCTTCCCCCCTCCCTTTCCCCGTGACTGTATCCCCCTCTTCCTCTCCAGTCCGGCCCCTTTTCCCTCGCCCTCTCTCCTCTCCGTCAGCATGGTGGTGAAGTCCGTTGTGTAGATGAGTTGTGGTGTCTGCAGACCTGTGGAAGGTGTGCTCCTTCCCTCAGCCTCTTCCTCCCTCATTGCTGTGCCTTGGCAGCAGCAGCTCTGGGGCCAGGGGGCCGTCACCGCTGTGTTTCTCTAGCCCCTCTCTGAAGGATCCCAAGCATTCCGGGATGGAGGCAGCAGCCAGAGCTGCCTCAGAGCAAAGTGGGAATTCTGACTTGCAGGAGCCTCCTGTAGGAGAATTGAGCTCTTCATCTGGGGAGGATGAAGGGTTGAAGCACATGGTGGCCGAGACACAGTGGGCTGCTGTCCAAGTGGATGGTCTGAGTGGATGCTCTGCCTCGTCCAAGAGGATGCTCTAACGTGCCCAAACTGTTTCTGGATGTCAGTGTCTTGACTCAAGGAGAGAAGGAGATAGGGAATGTGTGCTGGGACCTCCATGAGGTTAAATATATGTATTGTGCCCTTGAATCTCCTGCACTCTTCCTTTATATGGGTTCCCTTTTTGAGTGGAAAGAGGTTGGTGGTGCCTTCAGGGGTCTTCTCCCTTACATCTTTGCTTTGTATGTGGAAGGACTTTTGAAGAAGAGCAGCTGAGATGTGTGTTGAGTTGGATACTTCTCCCCTGGCTGCCTGCTCCTCTCCTGGGGCTCTCACACGTCCCTCAGTACCTTTGTGGCCTCTCCAGTACGTCCCAGTCCATGCAGTTCAGACCCTTGCTCATGCAGAAGGGTTTTCCTTGGAGACTTGAGGGAAACTGCTGCTCCAGGTGTTTGTGGTGCCTCACAGAAGGCTTGTGTCAGGAGTTCACATGGGCTTCTCAAAGCTCCTTTGCTCAGCTCTGCACTGAAGTTTCTAGAAGTTTGCCCTCCTCCCTGAACCTCTTGTCTGCTGGTATTCAAGATCTCCCTCGTGCACGGGCAGCTGCCCAAAATGTTAACTCTGGGGGCAGGAAGAGGCTTTTGGCTGAGCTTAAAATGAAAATTAACTTGAAATAATCAGAGCCCTTTGAAAAAATAAAGGGTGGGTAGAGCAGATAAAATTTGGCTGGTGAGTAGCATCATTCTGTCCTCCTCTGTATCTCTTCCTTGCCAGAGGTCAGACAGTATTTATGGTGACACATGGGTTCAGCACACTCACTGTTTATGTTTGTGTGTATAAATACGAGTCCAATTATGGAGAACTAGTGGAAATGAGCTTCAGGCAATTTCCTCATAATCCCCTGCGTAAATCTGTCTAATTTTGTCAACATGCCACAGTAGCATCTTCTTAGAAAGAAAAAGGAGTGGGAAGAGCAAAAGCCTTCTAAGAGCTGAGCTTTAATAATATCAGCAAATACATGGGAAGAGGTGGTAGAAAGCAGGTGCTGATGGGCAGGATGGTGGCAGGATCACCGAGCCTGATGGTATCCAGGACTTGGCACACGTGAGCTCCGTGGATGATGGACTGGAGGTGGCTGAGGCCACCATTAGCCAAGTACCTGCACGAATGTACCTCGTGTGCAAAGCATAGAAATGGTGGATATAAAGGGGAAAACCCTGTCATTGACCATTCAAGCAGGAATTGCTGCAGGGAATCCTGTGCTGTCGGACCCGTGGGTCGCTGTGGTCCTACTCGGAGCCAGCACGTGCGTGGCTGTCTGTGCTGGTGCAGCTCAGTGGCTGGAGTGGGTAGTGTAGCCTCTCTCATGAGAGGCTGGTTGCACTTGGGAGGAAGGTGTTTATGCTCTGCAACTGCAAATGTCGTCTTCCCAACGAGGGAAAGCTCTCGCCTGGATCCAGCCAGTGGGACTACCAGCATGTCTAATGAGTTGCTTCATCTTGGGCTGATGTGCTGCTCTGCTGGGACCTGGAACAGAGGCTCTGCTGGGAGCTGGAACAGAGGCTCTCTGGGAGCTGGGACAGAGGCTCTCTGGGAGCTGGGACAGAGGCTCTCTGGGAGCTGGGACAGAGGCTCTCTGGGAGCTGGGACAGAGGCTCTCTGGGAGCTGGAACAGAGGCTCCCTGGGAGCTGGAACAGAGGCTCTCTGGGAGCTGGAACAGAGGCTCTTGGGGAGCTCTCCGCACATTCACTTCTCTGCTGCGATGGGAAACATGAAAAGGAGCTTTTCTATGCCCGGTGTTTGGGTTCCTCCTGCGTCTGCTGCGCCTCAGCTGCTTCATCACCTCACGCTGCACTTCCCTGGGTGCTCTCCAACGCTGCCAGCAGAACTGAGATGCTTTGCAATCGCACACATCTTCAAAAAATTCCCCACCCTTCTGCTCCCCAAGGGGAAAAATCCCTTGGGAGCTCTTTGCCTGTGCACTCCAGCTGAAGCATCACTGCTCTGGAGCCGCTTGGGATGTTGGATGTGAAGTGTTGCTGTTGTGCTCTGTGGAGATGCACAGCTCTGTGGTGGTGCACAGCCTCTACCTGGAACCCAGGGGAGATGAGGAGCTACAAACTCTCTGTGGGAGGGTGTGCTCTTGTCCCACAGCCCAGGAGTGCAGGGTCTGTGCTCCAGCCCGTGTGTTTGCCCCTTCCCTGCCGCTCCCATCAGGACCCACAGTGTTCTTGCAATGCTGGGTGGGTCTCACCTCGCTGACAGGCTGGGATGACATCACCCACAGCGTTTTGGTGCCAGAGCAGGAGTCTGGACACGCTGATGTTGCCTCCTTGCAGCCAGCTGAGGCAACTCCTCTGCCTGCCCATCCTGCTGCCTGTGGCTCACAGGGTTTGCTGATCCCTGCCCCGGTCACGGACACCTGAAGACACAGGAGCTGCTGTCAGCACTGTCCTCTGCGTGGTTGTTTTGACAAGGTTTAGTCACTGACCTCTGGTGACCGAGCTGTGAGAGCACAAGAGTGTCATCTCCTTTGAAGATGAAGGCACGCTGGTTTAAGTGTTCCTTTCCTCACTGGATCCTGGCTTCAAGCATTGGCTTTACAGCAATAAAAGGTGCTTTGTGGATGCCTCCCCTGTCGTCTCTGGACACCTCATCTGCAGGTTGCTTGGTGATGACTCAGGTTGATCCGTGGCTTCAGACTTGTCCTTCTGTGCCACTAGGAGTTGGTGCAACTTGGAGGATCATGGAAGTAAAAAGGAAGCAGGGGAAGGAGATGGGAAAGCAGCAAGAGGGGGGGATGCTGTGATGTGTTATAGATAAGAGCTGGACTGCCCTCTCTCCTAAGGAAAAGGTTTTCCTCTAATGCTCTGCTCTCTACAGCAGTCATGCTTTCCAGGCCTTGGATGGGAAAAACAGGTACAGTGAAGGAAATAAAGTAAAAATCCCTTTGCAAAGGGGGAGACTGTTTCACCTTGAGCTGGTTCCTGTAGCAGAGTTCCTCAGGTGCTAGAGCTGGAAAGCTATCCCTTGCAACTGCTGGCTCTCCTGCAGGAAGCACCCCTTTGCAAATCCTCTCCTTGTCCTTGCAATAAAACCTTGTCAGTGTTTCCATCTCCAGCTCCCAGCCTCTTGGTGTTCCAGGAGCAGACGCTCCCGTGCTGTTGCGTTTCTGTTGTCGCTTCTCACAGGGACCTGGGAACGAGGTACCTCTCCCGGCTCTGTCGGTGTGTGCCCTTCGTGTCCCTGTCTGTTGTGTGGCCCCTGGTTTTTTTTTGGCTGTGGGAGCAGGGCCAGCAGGATCCTGCCTCCCCGCTGTTTGTGGCGCCGGTGTTGTCCGCCACGGATGGCTCGTGGTGCCCGTCTCGATGCTGCCGTGCCGCTTCTGCCTGTCTCTTTCTCTCTTTCTCCATCCCAAGGGGGTTTCCAACCGCTTCCCAGAAATGCCTTATCGGACATAGGATCTGCCCCGTCCTTTTTTTGTTTAGCAGTGTTGGCATGGCAGGCAGGTGGCAGGTGAGCTGGGGTGCCCGTGTTGGATGTGGCCGGTCCAGGTCACGGCGCTGCTCGGCAACGTGGAGGGGAGACACAGGGGGACAGCGGGGACGCCTCGCTCCCTTCGTCCCGCGCTCCAGCACGCCTGGCTGGCCCTGCTCCCTCAACCCTGGGTCTCTCACCTCTTTCTTTTCCACGGCAGAGCTGGCTGGGGTTGACCGATCCCCCACCGGGGACGTCCAGAGGCCGGAGCGTGGCTGAGAGCCGCTGACGGCGCCTGTCTGCTTTTCCTTCCTAGAAAACATCCATCTCCGCCCGGGGACGCTGCTGCACCTGAGAGGCTCGAAGCTCTGAAATACCAGCGGATAAAGAAGCCCAAAAAGTCATCCAAGGGCTCCTCGAAATCCAGAAAACAACCCAGTGAGTGCGAGGACCCTACGGTCCCCAACGACATCCCTTCTGTCCCGCTGTGGGCAGAGCTTGGGCAGGTCCCTGCCAGCTCCAACGCTGGGGGTCTTCAAGCCCATTCCTGGATGCTGCCCTTGTTCCCTGCCTCCCAAAGGGATGGCTCCTTGCCTGTGGGTTGTCCCTCCCTTGCTCCTCCAAACCGAGCTCCTTTTCCATGCAGCTCCCTTCTCTATTTATTTTGGATTTGGAGTGTTAATTTCATTTTCCCTGATGCCCGAAACGTGCTCCCTTCTTGCCAAGCGGCGGGTTCAGGGCCAGGCTTGCTGTAACCTCCCTTTTACAGCAGGCTCTGCCCTGCTGCTGGCTCTGGTCCCATCTGCCTTCTCTCCCCCCTTCCCAGACGGCTCTGCCTCCCAGGTTCAGCACCCTCCCAGCTCTCAGGTACTGTCGCCTGACGAAGCTGTCTGCCTCCGCAAGAAGAAGAGACACCCTCGTCAGGACCCCTTCGCCCGGCTCTCGGCGCTGAAGGACGACCTCTGCCACCGGCAGCTCCCCGAAGACCAGACAGCCATTCTCAACAGCGTGGACCACGATGACACCAGCGGGCACGCCACCCTGCTTTAGCCTGCGCCGGCCCCAGGAGGTGGAACAGGAGCAGTGGAGGGAGCTGATGGGGATGGAGGTGATGGGAGACAGGGGGGGACACCCCGATGCTGCCGCCTCTGCCGGGGGGTTCAGCGGCTCACGGCGGGGACGAGCTGGGGGGACCCTGGGGCAGACGGGGAGGATGCTCTGGGCTGGGTGCTCCTCGGATCCGCTTCTCCCCCCACCCCAAACAGCTTCGGTGGTGGGGTGGGAAGGGTTGGGGGGTGTTTGCACCTCGGTTTTGGGAAAGATCTCTAGGCTTCAAAGGCGTAGATGGATCTTCTGACATCTGCGTCCGCAGCGCGCGTTTAGGGAGAAAGTGTGGGATTGAGCAGCTGGCCCTCAATCGCCGGAAGAAATTAAATGACACAGGGTGTAATTAATTGACAAGAACCTAACAACCCAGACGGGAACTGGTAATCCCATGAATCTGATTATGATAAAAAAAAACATGACCAAATAATCCCAGGAAAGCTGTAATTGCGAGGATCTCCCTGGCTCCCCCTTCCCGGCCTCCTTTGACGTGAAGATCGCAGCAAAACCGTGCGTGGCATCTTTCCTTACCTATCTCTGAAAGGGAAAAGCCAGAAAGACCCCGAGCCTTCCAATCAGTCTGAGATGTGAGAAATCACCCTTTGCCTGTGCAAATGCTTTTGAACCTCGGTGCCGTGCGAGTGTGCGGGGCCGATCCCGTCCGAGGGTGTTTCCCCCTCCAGGTACACGGTGCGTGCCAGCTTTGATGAGGGGTGGCTGTGATTAATTCTTCCCGACACTCTGTATATCGCAGGCGAACGTTCGTCGGTGCCGTGCCGTGATGTGATTTCTTACCGCGTGATGTGTAAATCTTGACTCGTAACCGCGAGCCGGGGCGACGCAGGCGTGCGAGCCGAGGGGGTTCGGCTGCGTGGGCCCCAAAAAGCCTCCGTCGGCAGGTGCTGAGCCTGAGGGCGAGAGCGGCTGGAGGTGCCCAGCTCTGCGGATGGACACGGATGGCTCCTGGGAGCGGCCGCGCAAAGCTAAGCCCAGCGTTTCGCGTCAGCCTAAAACACGTTCCTGCTGGTTCCACTGTTCCCCCCTCTCCCTTCTCCCGCTCCAGCCCGACTGTGTTGGCTGTGACACCCGTCAGGGTCATGTCCCTCCCTTTGCCCCCCTGTTCCCCTCGGTAATGCTGTTCTAACTCTTCACCAGAATGTATTTCCTCTTCGAAGTACTTAGGGTAGGTTTGGTGGCTGGTGGTTTTCTGGATTGCGCAGGCCTTTTTTTTTTGTTTTGGTTTGTTTTTAGCAGGAAAGGTGGAACCCGCTCCGAGAACAGCTGGGCTTGCTTTCCTGCTCTGCCTCCACTCTCTGACTGCGTGGCCTTGGGCAAGTCACTTAACCTCTCTGTGCCTCAGTTCTCCCATCTGTAAAATGGGGATAAGTCATATTTGAGCACTTTGGACAAGCACTTGGTGGCCTATAGACTGCAAGTGCTACGTAAATGCTTAGTGCTGATACCAAGCAATCCCTACCTTTAAAATATTTAGAGTTGTTGTTTTTGTTTTTGGTTTTTTTAGTTTGAAGTGGTAAAATCAACCGCTGTATCCAGGTTTGCACAGTTCTTCCTCTATGGTAAAGTGCTAAACCCTCCAGCCTGCCTGGGAATAAAACACCAAGTGTTTCATGTAGATATTCTTGCTTTGAGTGGATTCAGGCTGTAGAAAAAGCATCGGGAGAACCGAAGAGCCTGCAGGCATGTTTTTGCCCCAGGCTCTCTATTTGCATATGAAACTTTTGTTTATTCCCAGGTAGAATTGCCAAGAGATTCTCTGCAATCTCGCCTTTAATTCTGCTTTGCCTTGGTTTTTGCTCTTGCTGCTGGTTGAACCTCCAAGGGCTGAGATGTTTGGAGAAAGACGTGAGCTCTGGGTTGTGATCCGGCACTCCAGCCGCGCCGCGCTCCCCGGGAGCTCTCAGGTCGGAGCCTGTTTATTGCTCTGCCGAAAAAACACCTGGTTTTAGAGGCTGTGCTTCCTCTCCCAGCAGGAGGCTCGGGAACCTGCGACCACCAAAAGCAGAGCACCGTGTCTTTTCCAATCTCCAGGCCCTCAGTAAGGTTTGAACCACTGGACAATGAACCCTCTGAATCGATAACGAGATATTTCTGAGCTTTAACAACTTTGTGTAGGTGGTCTTCAAACCATCAGCAGGTTTGTCTCGGGAAGGAGGGAGGGCCTGGCAGAAATGTCCCTCTCTTTCCAGCCTGCACCAGGGCCTTTTATTGACGTGACGAGTGACCTGACGTAAGAACCTCAACTCTCAGAGTGAGAATTCAACTTTGCTAACAGTATGACTGCGAATTTCTTTTATTTGAGTGTGCTCTTAGGGTTTTTCCCTAGAATCCGCTCGGATCTGAATTGATTTATTGCCATTCTCCCGCTCAGCAGCGGGGAACACTCTGCCTGGCTCACTTACTCAGCTTGCTGGTAACCTCAGCTGGGCTGCTCCCCGTGGGCTGGGCTGCTCCCGACGGACAGGTGACCATCGGGGCCGGGGGAGGTGTGGAGGCTTTGCGCTGGCCATGCCGTGGCCAACTTGCTCTTCCTTTCGCTCTCGTTGCCTCAACCTCTCCAACAGGGGGCCTGCTTTTTCCTTTGAGTGCTTTCCAAACTATTTACGATGCCCATTCGGATGGGCAAGGCGCTGTCTTCAGGCTCTTGAGGTTGCTACCTCGGGACTGTGCCCCATCCCGTCTTAAGGAGCTCTAGAGGACTTGGAGCGGAGGGAAGGTTGACGGAGCGTGCCGGCTTGCTGCGTCAGTCTTTTGAGAGTTGTTTTCCTTTTGCAGGTGTTTTGAGCCACTGGGCTTTTCATGGTCTTCGACCTTTAGAGCCTGGAGCTGCAGCCCTCTCTCTTTCAGCTGTGCACCTGCCACGCTGCTGGAGTGGGAAATCCCGCCCGGGCGCCTCGTGGAAGCAGCTCCTCCCTAAAACCATCCTTAACTCCTTTCCCTGCTAGACCGAGTTACCTTCCGATAGACTCGGGCCGTGCTTTGGCTGACTGGCTCACCTCTTGCTTTGGCAACCTCCTCGCTTCTCCCAGCCCTCTGGTTTCCATGCCCTCCAGGGGGTCGCTCCTCTCTCCTCCCACGGACCTGGGACATCGAAGCCGTGTCAGACGATGCCAAACGCTTCCCCCATTTCACCCCCGTTTGAACTCCGTGTCGCTTTTTGGTGGTTTGCAAACACAGCTGCTGCTGCTGCTGCTGCTGCTTCATTTCTTACTTTTATTTTTTCTTTCATGCTGCAAAAATATATCTTGATTTTTATCTTCCTGGGCCAAACTCTCTTATTTATAAGCTGGTCTGAGGTAGACGGCTCTTTCTTTATCAGTAACCGTACGATTCCTCCTTGCACATTGTGAATGCCGTGTTTCATTAGGTCCCTTGGCAAATCCTGGACCACGGTGAAAAAAATGCCTCTGAATCACAAGGATACTTGTCCCTGGGCTCCTCTGAGGCGACAGTGCAGGGGTGACAACCCAGTTTTGGGGGGTCCTTGCTGGTGCCTCTGCCTGTGAGGTGGCCACGGTGGGGTTGCTCCAGTGCCGTTCTCATGCCACCATGGGGGCTGCGGGATTTGGGCACCCCGAGCTGGGGGAGGTGACATGGAGAGGTAGGTACAGGGTGTTGCTGAGATCCCTTGGAAAGAGGGCGTGGTTGTGGGGTGCCATCCCTCACAGCCTCTCCAGTAAAGCCTGTGTGTCCTGGTGCAGTCAGGGAAAAAAGGGCAGGGAAAGCGCTTTGCCTGCTTTTCCAGCAGGACTTGCTGAGCTTTCACCCACGTGTTTTCGAGGTGACTTTGCCGTGCAAACCCATCAGCGTTTCAGTTTCGCTGTGTTGACGTGAAGGAGAATGCAAGTTACTGTCAGTGGGGGGAGAGGGAGCGTTCAGGGCTTGTTTGTGGGGCCCCATTTCTGTGCCTGCCACTCACTGCATCCAGAGGCACTTGGAGCAGTGGGTTTGTAGGATGGGGGCAGCTGGAGGGTCCCAGGGTGTCTCTCCCCAGTGTGAACCTCAGCACGGTTTGTAGTCTGACCCCCCTCAAGCAGAGGGATCTCTATGACCCCCCAGGGTAGTGAGGGGTGTCTCTGTGAGCAGGTGATGCTTTTCCCAGGGGGATGCTCATTCCTGCTGCTGTGTGCTGGGTCACCTGTGACTTGAAGGCTGATTTTGGGCACTGCTGGACTCCAGGCTGTTGATCTGGTGTTTGTCACCTTGTCAGCTGGCTTGGTGCCACCCGCTCTGGAGGAAGTCTGGAGGTGACAGTGTTTGGTAAAGGGAATACAAAAGGAATAATAACTTGCTGTACCCACCTCTGGGGCTGTTGAGGGCTCTGGGTTTGGGCTCAGCATCCCAGGCACGGTCCCGGCAGGGCTTAGTCATGTCTCGTGGCATCCAGGCATGACACACGTTTGTGGACTTACTGCTGCTCACACCTTGCAGCCTGTATCAGGACAAAACCCTCCTGGCATTTTGGTTTCTCCTCCTGCTTCAGGCAGTGACGTAGATTTTGGAGTTCTCGGAGTTTCGGGTTGGTTTCAGCTGTAGCTCTTGTCTGGGGGTATTTTTCCACGAGGCTGGACCTTCAGGGATTTCCACATGTCCCACATGGGCTCACTGCGGCCCCGGGCTGGCGGAGTCGATGCTTTTTTGTGGAAGGAAATCTTTTCAAGGAACTGGAGTAAAATGCACTGTATATATGAGATATAAATAGATAGAGAAGCGTAGGACAAAGGTAGATAGGTTTGCAGAATTCAGTAGATTTGCATGTCAGGGGTATGTGTGTCTCTAGGGGAGAGTTAAGAGCTGTGCTGAAGGGGGGATTGTTGGGATGGGCAAAGCAGGGAAGGGGCTGGGAGCAGCTGGAGCCTGAGGGGAATTGGGAATGGAGAGGCACGCTGCAGGCGTGACCCGCTGCACACAACAAATTGCTTTTTTTCTCATTATCTCCCCCCCCTCGCCCCCTGTATTTTATTTTTGCTCTGTTCATTGTTTGTGACTCACCCCTGGGCCGTGACATTGGGAAGCAGGAGGGACAGGTCCTCTCCTCTGCGTGTCCGACGCACGTGGGGCGTGACAGGGGACGTGACATGGGAGGGGGACGTAATGTTGCCTCATCTGTGGTGCCATCGTTTAAAGAAAAAGCTGCACCACGCAGAAACCTTTTCCCTCAAGTCCCTCTAGATGCTGCTCTCCGGTTACTCATGTGCAAGCATTTTGCCTTGCATCTGTTCTTCCCAGAAAAGCGTGAGTCAGAAGGGATGAGACAGGGATACAGCTAAATTTGTCCCTGGAGCTGAGGAACGCGGCGCCGGCTGTGCCAGCCGGCCCCGGCAGTGACTCCTCGGAGGGACAAGATGTTCTTCACAGTGTCTTTATTTTAAACCTCATCAGCAGGACTTTGAGGATCTGAGGCAGAGAGGGGATTTGGTCACCAGTGATGCCAGAGCCAGTATTGGGGTTGGGAGCAGTGGAATTCAGGCTGTATTCCCACCATGCTCCAGGAGCCCATCCCTGTGCTGTGTGGGCACAGGGTAACCCTTAAAGGAAACAGGATGTTTACTCCCATTTACCCCCCTTCAGCTTAATTTTGGTTTGGTTTTTTTCCCCTGTTTCTGTGTATCTTGACTCCTCTCTGCCTGTGTTTGCTGGGGAGGAGAGGTGGGAAGCGCACTTGTTCCTGTTGGGGATCTGTCAGGGAATGCGTGATCCAGGAACTGAGGGTTGGGAAGCAGCAACCAGATTTGGCAACGCTGGTGCCAGCTGAAGAAGAAACTTAATATTGCACTTAATTCCCATCAGTTGGTAAGGACTGGGTGCTGGTGCTGGGAATGGGCTGCAGATGGGAGCCTGTTCCCCTCCCCTGGTGACTGGGATGATGGGGGAGCTGCCCAGTGCCGTGCTTCCCCTTTTTCCCCATTCCTGTGGTTTTGACCTGGCAGGTTTGTGCTGCCTGAGCTGTGTGTTCCTCCTCATCATTGTGTGGCATGGGCATCTTCCTGGCCATGCTGGGTGACCTCAGGACATCCCCAATCCCAGGGCTCTGGCTGACTTTTGATATGTGCATGGATGGAGGAAGGACCTGGGGAGGGGGTGGGCAAGAGAAAGGGGGGGGCAGACAGGCTGGTCCAGGCTTGGGGGGGTTCAGATGCAGAAAGCATGTACTGTAGTGGTAGCTAAGGATTTTTATACTGGTTGCAGTGGGGTGGGAAACTGGCACCCCCCAGGGAGGAGAGTTTGCCCAGATGTTGGCTTTACCATCAAAATGACACTTTCTCTCCCAGGGGGACTTTTATTCTTGTGCTCCTGAGGTTGCAGGGGACCAAGAGGGGCTGCAAAAGGGGGTGCTCATCCTCCCAGGACTGAAAGCTCCTCTAATTTCCACCCACTCCCCCCTCCCCAGCACTTAAAATAAAATTAAAAAAAAAACAAAAACAAAAACAAAAAAACTTGAGAAATGAGCCCCAGTATCTCTATCTAAAGAAACGATATTGGTGTATCAAAACCGCATTGTATATAAAATTAAACAAATATATATTTACTTTCTATTTTAGAAGGGGGGGAGAATAAATATTTAAAATAATTCCTTAGTAATAGGTGTCAGAAACTTCTGTGCAGCATGAGAGAGGCTGTCAGAGGTGAGGGGGAGAGTCTCAACAGCGGGAGCAGAGCGAGTATTTTTACATTATATTGCGCTTCAGCTTCTCTGCTTCTCCATCCACCTATAAATAGACAAAAAAATATATATACAAATATATATATATATATATAAAAATTATATATATCTAAGTCACATAGCTGTTTTATTTTTGTATCCATGCCTAGTGCTGTTTGAGCAATACGGTGGCGAGGGAGAGGAGGGCTGGGCGAGGCTGGGGGGCTCGCAGGGCTCCGGGGGATCCGCCGGCTCCGGCTGCCATCCCGGCATCGCCGCTGTTTGCTGTCACGTTGCTGTTTCAATAGGGAAAAACACTGAAAAGGGGAAAAGTCCCGGGATGGGGAAGCCTGGGCCTGCTGCCAGCTTGCCCAGGGCCACGGCGAGGTGGTGGTGCTTCCACCCAGGGCTTTTCTTTCCAGAGAAAAAATACAAATTTCAGCTCCGAGGGCGGCTGCGACCTAGGGGGTGGCACAGGATGGGGGACACGCTGTGGGATGGGGTCCCTGCACCACTGCCTCGCTGGGCGCTGTTGGCTGCCCTTGCCTCACCCCCCTCATAAATCCTGAGGGTTCCTGAAACCCTCCTGTGGTTTGTGGAGCTCCCCAGGTGGCCCCAGTGGGATTCTCCTGGTCCCCACACCCTGGGGCCGGAGCAGGGAACCTTCTCTGTCGGCACGTCAATACCTCTACACCAGACAGAGTAACTCTGGCCATCGGGGTTTGCTGGTGCTGGGGACGCTGCTGGTGGGGGATATGGGGCTGTCCCTGCCCGGATGGGTGGGATATGAGGCTCTCCCTGTCCCAGTGGTGAGGTGGCACCGAGCTCTGGCGCGGTGAGGAACGTGCTGGGGATACCTGGGGCTTTCCCTGCAAGGACCCGCCGGACCCCCTTCCCTGTGTGCCCGTGGGTGGCGGGGGGACGAGGAGCCAGATTTGGGACTGAGCAATGCCAGGGAGCAGCAAACCACCCTCTCTGCCTTCGCTGGGGCAGGATTTGGGGATTGGCTTTGGGTAGTGGTTACCCCTCGGGCCGTGTCCCGCAACCCTTGGCTCTGGGACGATGCAGATGCTGTTTTTTTGGGCTCAGATGCCCCCGAGGGGACCTGTGGCACAGACCCCGAGTGATTCCACCCCTCCAGAGCCAGGCAGAGGTCCCTCACTGTGGTCATGCCGTGTCCTGCCGGGCTGAGGCACGAATGTAATCCCGGGAGCTGGCCCCTCACAGCGGCACCGTGTCCTCCGTAGGTGTCACCTGTATTTTCCATGATATTTCTGTCTTCTTCGTCGGGTTGGGGAGGGTTGGGGGGGAGGGGATGTTTCTAATATCAAGCCAAGATTTGTTCAGCACCAATTCTTGATATCGAAGCAAAGCATGTTTGGTGGGACTAACTTGCATTTATTAGCGGTAAATACATTAAGTGAGTATTTTATATGTTAAAAAGAAGAAAAAAAAAAGAAAAAAAAAAAAAAAAAGATGTAAAGGAGAAAGAGAAGGGATGAGATTTCTCACCGGTCGGTGTCCGGGCTGGGGGAAGCTGCACTTCCCCCCGCCGCCGGTGGGGCTTTGGGGTATTGCCGGGGTTGGGGAGCAGGGGGGGGCGGGCAGCTTTCTCCTTTCC